TCTATTCCCTCTCGTAACATAAAGCTCATTTCAGTGAGGTTTGCAGTGATCCCTGCCTGTGCCTATGAGAGCTTCCTCTTACCTACTGCCTGGGATCTGGGAATCTGTTCAATGGCCATTTCAGTTATTAATATTTACCCATTGATTCCTGAAGAATATCACTTAAAGGAAAACTCCACTCAAAAACAGTCTTGGTATTTGTTTCATTAGTCCATTGTTGACATAGTCCCAAAATGTGTTGCTTGTTAGCAATCAAGTTGTCAATATATGTAACTTTCTAAGTACAGAAATCATCCCTGTATGATGCATTTTGCAGGGATGATTTCTGTATTTTGAAAGTTACATACAGTATCTTGACAACTTGATTGCTGACAAGCAAAACATTTTGGGACTATGTCAACAATGGACTATTGAAACAAATACCAAAATATTGTTTTTGGGTGGATTGTCCTTTAAATGCATAGTGAGAATAACTTTAAAGCCACACCAGGGCACTGTGGTACTGTCACTGCTCCAAAGCAACGTTGCCACGGTATTAAAGACCTTGATGCTCTGTCATCATCAAGGGGTGGGCCCCGTGCCTGACTCATCCTATTAGTCCTTTTTTATCTTGTTTTGGCTGCCTGGAAAACCGCTTCATTGCTAAAAGAAAAAAGGACATTGATTTCCCTCTGAGACAAGGGTGTGTCGCACCTATTCCCTATATAGTGGTTGTCAGGCAGTTCTAACCACTGTGTTCTCTCTTCTTCTCTGCAGGGCAAATACATGGACATTGAGTTTGACTTCAAAGGAGACCCTCTGGGCGGAGTTATTAGCAACTGTGAGTATTATAAAGTACACACACACGTTATGCCGCAATAGAATGGCCACATGCTAAGCTCTCCTCCATCCCGCTAGCCCTCTCATGTCATGTCACTGCTGTGAGTGTGGTAGTGATAGCATAGCCCTCCCACTGTTATATCCCGCTGACACAGTTGGCTCAATTAAACCCCCCAGTAAGTCAGTCAGTCATCCCACCCTGGTAATGGTTTGTCTCGCACCACAGGGCCAGATCCAGGGAGAGCTAGAGAGTGAGTCATAGAGAGGGACCGGGAGATAAAGAGAGAGAGGGGAGGCCCAGAGAGAGGGGAAGAGAGAACGGGTAGAGGGGGTCGATCATAGCGTGTCACATTCCACATGCTGTCCCTACACGCCAGGGTTGGTCGGCTCACCAAAGAGATGGCGATCAAAGATATTACACTGTTTCCAGTCAATGGAGGGTCATTGACACACAGGAACTAGAGGGGGAGGAAGCAAACTAAAACAACCTAAACAGTTCCCAAACAGACAGACTAGTTTCTGGAAGACTAGTTTCTGACTGCAGTGCCTCATCTTGTCTCGCTATCTTGCCCCTCAACCTCTTTGTTATTATTTCATCCTGTCTCATGTTCATGTTGTTTTGTCTGGCGTGAAGAGATTCAGCCATGAGGTCACAGGAAACAGAGTGGTTGATCGCTCAGTCACACACACTCCACTGTCCTCTCTGTCTTATGGAGTAGCTAATGAAGAGGGTCCAGTACAAGGAGATGTTTTTTATTATTATTAGGATGGAGTGGCGAGAGGGACAGACTGGGATGGATGGAAGGAATGGTAAAGCCCTCTACTGCCTGAGGGCTTCCCTCAGAAGTCACAAGCTATAACTTCCTCTGGTTCTTTATGTTGCTGCTGCAGCACAGTCAGCTGACACCTCGTTATGGCCCTCACACCATCTCCAGCTTGCTCCATGCCCTGAAGGTCTTCTTTAACTGCGGATATAGAGCAGGAACACCTCTAGGGCAGTTGTTCTCAAACCTACAACAATTTTGTTGTAGCCCTGAACTAACTCACATGATTCACTTAGTCAAGGGCCTGATAATTAGTTGACAATTTTAATCAGATGTTAGCTGTGGAATAGATCAAGTACATGGAACGGTTGTGGGTCCCCAGGAGAGGTTTGAGAACCACTGCTCTAGGGCATGGTTACAGTACAGCAGAGCAGCAAGGGTTAGGCCACAGTGGAGAAGGGTTTAGGACACTACATCCATGCGCGCTAGTTTTGTATGGGATAATGTGTTGAACTTTGTCTGGACTGAGAATCTTGTTTTATGTTTTTAACGTTGTATGTCATTGGGGAATTTGTTTGGTACCCTAACATTTACACTCTTGATAACAAAGTAGACTTGAATAATGGTAACGTGCTAGGAAGAGGGTTTCCAATCCCCAAACGGCCAATCATTTGGTGTTTTGTTATACCCCAGTCAAAACAGCAAGACAGGCCTTCCATTCTTACTTTGCAGTATATAGCATGTCTGACATTTCTCCTTAAATGTATGTTTGTTCACTTAGGAACCATAATACCATTCTAAATTTGACAAATGCTTTACAGCAGGCATGGAAAACATAGTGAAAGCGGCCTTAGTAGTAAAAAGCAATAACAGGGCTGAACTCTTCCAGTGTACAAAAGGTGAAAGGTCACGACAGAGAGAAGAGCCCCCTGTGGGGGAGACCCTGAATGTTCAGAACATTTTTGAGCCACATTTCCTGTTCTTGCGTCTTATTTTCTGTTGTTGGAACTCACTGTTGTGAGTTTGGTCTGGGCAAGAGGATGCTTGCATGCAGTTACATGTGCATCTCAGAGTAGGGTACAAGCCAAGGGGGGAGCCACAAAGTGAGACTGTGACATTTTTTATGACAGAGGGAGGGAGTAGAGAATAGTCTCATTGCAAGACTTTGTGGTCTTGTATGTACTCAGTATTAGAAAATAGATATCAAGGTTTGGCAGAGAGGGAGAGAGGATCCATGTTTTCTGTCCCCTTTTTGATTACAGTTCAGAGGCAACGCATTGCTCACCTCTGCTCATCTGTCGCTCTGTAAGAGATGCTACATTATTGATGAGCTGACGGACAACCCAGAGAGAACCACTTAGGGATGAACACACACACACACATTTAGTGACTACCACTACCATGTGGTGTTGAAGCGAGGCTGGCATTAGTTGGAACAGATTCGTGACTGCTACACACATGTTCTATTGACCTCCTGTGTCTCTGCAGCGGGCCAGTGGCATTGAGTGCTGTGCCAGGGAGGGTGTAAATGCATTATGAAGTGATCCCTGACTCTCTTCAAGCAGTTAATGCCCCCGCTGAGAGGATGAGTCAGGACTTAGGGCTCGTAGCTGAATGCCAACAGGCATCCCACTCAGGTCCCAGGGCTGAATATAGCCCTATCTTCATCATAACTTTGCTTGTCAAGCAAACAGTGCTTCTCTATGCCTGTCAATTACCAAACGCAAAACCAAATTATCGTGGTTTTCTGATCAGCTTGAAAGACCTAGAGCTGTAACTCTGACCACAACATTAACAGATTAAATACAAAAGTGTGCGTCAAATTTGTTAATGTGTAATTAATCGAGGATGACATTCCTTAGTTGAACTCCTTAGTATCACAAGTATACATCCCATATATCCTTTCAATCAAGGTGTTGTTGTAGTTGGTCAGGAGCCATGGAGGAGCAGCTGACTTGATCTCTTCATATGGTTTCCTCCTGAGTTTTCCTGTGCCGGCCGGCTAGGAGGCTCCACTTCTACACAATGAACAATGAGACGCCAATATAACCGTGGCTCGGTCACCTTGGAAACACTAATATTTGGCTGTAACAGGGAGATGCATCCATCAGAGCGCTACAGATGTGGTCTGGACACTGAACATGTGTAGACGTAAAATATCAGTTGTGTTCTTAGCTCATTGAATGGAATCTTTTATGTCCTGCCTTACCTCTACCATGTGTAGAAAACTCATAAAATAAGTTGTGTTATTGCTGTTTTTAACAGTTGTCTTTTTAATCCCCTGTATTTTTGTTGTCCCGTAGATTTGCTGGAGAAGTCCAGGGTTTGCAAGCAGCCGAGAGGAGAGAGAAACTTCCACATCTTCTACCAGCTTCTTTCTGGAGCTTCAGATGACACCCTGAGTAAGTTATACACACATTTATCGGTAACACTTTATTTGACACCAGTGCTTATAACACCTTAATGACAATGTCATTAACATGTTATGAAGCTTCATTACATGTGTCATAACATCTCAAACGGTCATAAATGTTTAAGATATATAATGACAGTGTTATTAGACATGGCGTCAAATAAAATATCACGAGTTATCAAACAGAAGCATGTCTTGGTTACGTGACCAATACTTAAACATTGGTTACGTGACCAATGTTTAACTACAGAGAACAACGACTGAAACCAGTATGGCTTATTTGTTCTCAGCTGGAGCTCAGCCACTGTTTGGCAGTATTGTTGAAGGAGAACAATATAATGGTGGACAAATATCAAAGACTTGATTTAGCAGCAGTTAATGTAACCTGTAATCTAATACACAATGCGGTGGAATGGCTTTCGTAGATACCTGATACAGGCGTTTAAAGGAGCCCATTGAAACTGCTACTCTGAAATGTTATGTGCGTGTATAGCACCTGCACACCAGCATTGACTGTGTGTGTGTGTTTTTCTGGCCCACAGCAAAGCTAAAGTTGGACAGAGACTTCAGTAAGTACAACTACCTGAGTCTGGATTCAGCCACCGTCAACGGACTAGACGACGCAGCAAGCTTTCGGACCGTTAGGGTGGGTCACTCACTCTCTCTCACACTCTCTCTCTCTCTCTCTCTCACTCACACACACACACACTAATTTCTGTCACTCATTTTTGGTTTAGCTGAGGCGTGTGGTAAAGGGTAAGGGCTGGTCTGAGCTCTTTATCTCCAGAGCAGGTTGATTGGATTAAGGTAACTTGTCCATGCTAACCTGCTCCTTACCAGCCAAGGGTTGATTATGGACTAGCCTCCTCTACAGCCTCTCCCCCTGTTATGTAACTTCTATCTATATCCACAGTGGGTGACTGAGAAATAAGGATGAGTTTTTTTGTACACAAAGGGGAATTTCACCTGCAGTGCAGGCCTTCCCAACAGTAAACAATAGCAAAATGCTTAAGAATACACAGTGGCAGTCTGGCTGCTGTTTCTGTGCTGCTGTGGGAAACCTGAGGGAGAAACAGCAGCTGCATCCTCACACACTGACGTGGGGCTGTCGCTACAGAGCAGAGCTTGGTCAACATGTGCAGTCTCTCAGCCCCTCTTCCTCCTGACTCACTTACTGTTGATGACACACACAGAGGATGTTATGAGGTGCCTGCCTGCCCTTTATCCCAAACCACTGTCTCGCTGCCTTTGGACTCTCAGTGGCAGTGGTTGCATCTCAAATGCCACCCTATTCCTTGTACAGTGCACCCTATGGGCCCTGGACAAAAGTATTGCATTTTATAGGGAATAGAGTGCCATTTGGAATGCAGACTCCGTGTATCCTGTCTTAGTACTTTTCTCAGTGAGGGAGCTAGTAGGCCACATCTCCGCTGCAGTCCAACTCAACACAATAGAGTTCAGTGCTATACAATAGTAGGTCTCTCCACTGGATGTGATGCTGCGGTAGGAGCCAAAGGCAGCCTGCTACACCCTCGTTCACAATGGTGTCAAATCACAGCAACAAACATTTTAATATTTCCCCAACCACAGTCCACATCACTGTGCCCTCTGTCACTAGTTGTCTCACTCTTCCCTCTCCAGTCCAGAAACTCACTCCCCTTCCTGTTGTTATCATTGTGTGTTTGAAGTTGACTACATGTACATTGAAGTCAGACGGCGTAGAATCACTGATCTTCAAATCACCTTGCATTCCAAATAACTACTCATTAACTGATCAAGATGAGTTATTCTGCACCTCGCCTTGGCCAAACTAATCCCCTCAAACACGCTTAATGTCTGATATGCTTTTTCTCTCCCAGAATGCTATGCAGATTGTGGGCTTCATGGAGGATGAGGTGCAGTCGGTCCTGGAGCTGGTAGCAGCCGTCCTCAAACTGGGGAACATTGAGTTCAAACCAGAGTCCAGGGTCAACGGCTTCGACGAAAGCAGGGTCAAGGACAAGAATGGTGAGACCATAGTGTACCTGGATAACCAGCAGCTTTACTGTGGGACACAATGTGCTGTTACACTACACATGCATACACATCTCACTTTTTAAATAACTTTGGCGCACACTTGTGGATTTCCCTTGCATCTTGAAAATGTAAATATAATGTATTGTGGTGGTAGAAAATATTGTTTTAGTTATGCATTGTCTGGTCAATTTAAGGACGTATAAAACATAAGCTATAAGATAAGCATTCTGGAATCAATTAGATTATAACCACTGACCAATGGTAAGTCCCTCCACAAGCCATACCAGTAAGTTCCATCAGCAGTAGCCTATGTGTTTGTTGTTGCACTGCCCCCTACTGGTTAATGTTTAATTTCATGGTTTACTAAAGCCGGGTGTTCAGTCATGGTCAAAAGTTTTGAGAATGACAAGTATTGGTCTTCACAACGTTCGCTGCTTCAGTGTTATGAGATTTTTGTCAGATGTTACTATGGTATACTGAAGTATAATTACAAGCATTCCATAAGTGTCAATGACTTTTATTGACAATTACATTAAGTTTATGCTAATATTGACTCTTTGTAGTGTTGACCCTTCTTTTTCAAGACCTCTGCAATCCGCCCTGGCATGCTGTCAATTAACTTCTGGGCCACATCCTGACTGATGGCAGCCCATTCTTGCATAATCAATGCTTGGAATTTGTCCGAATGTGTGGGTTTTTGTTTGTCCACCCGCCTCTTGAGAATCGACCACAAGTTCTCAATGGGATTAAGGTCTGGGGAGTTTCCTGGCCATGGACCCACATTTTCTATGTTTTGTTCCCCGAGCTACTTAGTTATCACTTTTGCCTTATGGCAAGGTGCTCCATCATGCTTGAAAAGGCATTGGTCGTCACCAAACTGTTCTTGGATGGTTGGGAGAAGTTGCTCTCAGAGGATGTGTTGGTACCATTCTTTATTCATGGCTGTGTTCTTAGGCAAAATTGTGAGTGAGCCCACTCCCTTGGCTGAGAAGCAATCCCACACATGAATGGTCTCAGGATGCTTTACTGTTGGCATGACACAGGACTGATGGTAGCGCTCACCTTGTCTTCTCCAGACAAGGTGTTTTCCGGATGCCCCAAACAATCGGAAAGGGGATTCATCAGAGAAAATGACTTTACCCCAGTCCTCAGCTGTCCAATCCCTGTACCTTTTGCAGAATATGTCTGTCCCTGATGTTTTTCCTGGAGAGAAGTAGCTTCTATACTGTCCTTCTTGACACCAGGCCATCCTCCAAAAGTATTTGCCTCACTGTGCGTGCAGATGCACTCACACCTGCCTGCTGCCATTCCTGAGCAAGCTCTGCACTGGTGGTGCCCCGATCTCGCAGCTGAATCAACTTTAGGAGACGGTCCTGCCACTTGCTGGACTTTCTTGGGTGCCCCGACGCCTTCTTCACAACAATTGAACCCCTCTCCTTGAAGTTCTTGATGATCCAATAAATGGTTGATTTAGGTGCAATCTTACTAGCAGCAATATCCTTGCCTGTGAAGCCCTTTTTGTGCAAAGCAATGATGACGGTACGTGTTGGTTAACAGAGGAAGAACAATGATTTCAAGCACTACCCTCCTTTTAAAGCTTCCAGTCTGTTATTCTAACTCAATCAGCATGACAGAGTGATCTCCAGCCTTGTCCTCGTCAACACTCTCACCTGTGTTAAAGAGAGAATCACTGACATGATGGCAGCTGGTCCTTTTGTGGCAGGGCTGAAATGCAGTGGACATTTTTTTGGGGGATTAAGTTCATTTTCATGGCAAAGAGGGACTTTGCAATTCATCTGCTCACTCTTCATGACATTCTGGAGTATATGCAAATTGCCATCATCAAAACTGAGGCAGCAGACTTTGTGAAAATTTGTATTTGTGTCATTCTCAACTTTTGACCACGACTGTACACTACATGATTTTGGCTTTTTCAATTTCAGTCAAGGGGAGGGTTTAGTATTTTTTTTAAATCTAGTTCAGGGGAGGGTAATGTAATTTGTTATTGTCATTTCAATATTTCTCAGTGTTTTAGAATTACCGTATTTTCCGCACTATTAGGCGCACCGGAGTATAAGCCGCAGCAGCTAAATTGAATGATGTGTACATATATAAGCCGCATTGGACTATAAGCCGCAGGTGTTTTAATGTGTAATTACCATATGTAAGGGTTCGTGCACAGCGTGGATTGTCGGGAAAGAGACAAACTGTCTCGCTCTCGTAATGTCTCTCGTTCTGTCTCTCGTACCACTCTCGGTTCCACTTTTACTTTTGCGCGCTACCTGTCTCACTCTTTTCCGGCCTGCAGCTTTTCCTGCTGGAGCCCGCCGCTTAAAGGTGGGGGGCGCGGACCGGTCATAGAGCCCATAGAGTTAAAGTTGGTGGACTGTAACCTGTAAAATCCATAGATTTAGGAGGTCTTCTAGTGGCCGTTAGCTGTAAAAATCCATAGATTAGCCGCACCGTTATATAAGCCGCAGGGTCGAAAAATGGGGGAAAAAGGCGCGGCTTATAGTCCGAAAATTACGGTAGTTGCTTATTAAGCTATATATCAATGTGTGCCTGATGCCACCCCTCATCTCTGATTCTCCGCTGGGGGTGCAATAAATGTGCCTATAGGCTATTTAGTGTGGTCTCAATCAAATGATCCATAAACTATATGTTATGAAGTGCATGCTCGGAGAAGCAACAGAGCAAAGTTATATTTCTGCTGTAAATACAACTAGGCTGCATTACACACTGCAATGGATATTCAAACCCTGATCCCAGGCCTGCTCTGTTCTTGCTGATCAAAAACGTTATTGTGTGCTGCCTAACCAATGGCTGTGCTGTGTAGGCCTACAGTGGCAGTTCAGGAGAAAAGTCAAAGGCTATGTCCAAATGTTCATATTTTTTCAGACTGGCCAATAACCTATGTTCTGTTCAGTTTGAGAAGGAGAGCGCCAAGATGAGAAGGAGGACCTGGGGTCAACTTTGATAATTGATTTGATTTAAAAACAATATGTTTCTTGCCCATGATGTATTTATCAGAGTTATTGACCTCACAATAAGCCAGATTCTAGTAACTTAAATTGTGGTGCTGAAACTTGAAGCATTAGCCACGACACAATCAATAGAAAGGGTCAGCTCATGGTGCTGAAAGTAGAAACATTTGAGTAGGCATAATTCATTTAAACAGTCTTCATTTTAATTAGACTTTACTATCAACAAGAGGGCTAAGGGAGGGAGTTTATTTATTCCTAAGTAAGAGGTAGGCCTACCTGTTTGACAGACAAGATTAGGCTATAGGCTGCTATATCCATAGATTTGTCGGTCAATTCCTCCACCCACCATGCACTCTTTAAATAGCCTACTTCCGTGTCAGTGAAGGGCTGTTAAGTTAACACCAAGACTCGAATTGAGGGGATATGAGGGTATTCCATAGGCCTACCTTTTTATTAAAGAAAATGGGGGAAAAAGCTTAGGCCTACCCCTTGTTAGCTTAATATTTAGAAGAAAATAAAACGGGGATCCGATTTATATAGAGTGAGATAGATATATATATATATATAAAACAGTGCTTTGTTCCGTGACGCTTCATGCTAGAAACAAGCTGTAAAATACCCGGGAAAGACTTGATACATATGGGGATATCATTGATTTGTTTCGTTGACATTCAGAGGCTGCGTTACAACCTTCTATAGCCGAGGAGACAAAAAATAGACTTTGCTTGGGAAGTCATCTAATTCTGTCACTATCAATTGATTAACCTTTTCACTTTCTGTACAATAGAAGATGTTTAAATCCAGACAGCTTTTAGGGAAACACTTGTGACCTTCTGTCATTGGGTTAAGCCATGGAAGAAGAGTAGCCAGCAGTTAAAGCGTACATTTGTCTGTGTTGGTAGGCCTACTCTGTTTGGGGTGGATAGGTAGGCATAACTTTTGAAAGTACCATGCTCAGATTCTTAATGATACCTCAAATTTAATTATTTGCAAACAGGGACAGTTTCGTTGCAAACAAGACACACTGATTTGGCATTGGATAAGATGAAAACACAGGCCTCTCGCTCTGTCCGTTCTTAGCCTGTCATTTCGGTAATTTGTGTGGTATTACAAAATATTATAATAATATTTAAAATGACGTAGAATTGCATTAAATGTTTATAAAAGGTTATTTTTTCTCGGAACTGCAAATACGATGATGGATTCATGCAATACTTTTACTATAAAGGATATCTTTCCACCCGTAGTCTTGTCTACAGTGTTCTGCGAACCCACAACCTTCTGGCCCGCAGCCCTGTGCGCTTTCAAAATTCCTGTGTTACTATGTAATACTTACAGGATGAAAAACTGTTTCTAAAACTGCATATCTAGGGCTCTGGTCTGTCCAAGAAGTCAGGGTAAACGGTAGACATGTTCTCTGCGAGCCACTTTGTTTTAATTATTATGTTGGATATAGGGGAGGGTCACTTGTTTTTTTTGATTCAAGCGTTCATGGAGGGTTTAGGTAAAATAGGGAGGGCCGTCCATTTTCAATTGAGAGGGGTCCAATTTTCTCCATGTAACCCTTTTTTATGAATAACATTCACTGCTTAACTACAGTTTGCAATAGTATGCAATGTTTTCTGATGGTATGTACAGTAGGCCTACTGATAGAACTGCTCACAGCTCTCCCCTATTAAGCAAATGTAATATTTTGCATGTCTGAATAACCCAGCCATGGCACAACTTTGCATTCTTTCTTTGCAAACAAAACGCCTTTCTAATCTACATGATACACTGAAGTGGAAGAACTCCACATGACCTGTGGTGTGAATCATAAAATCTACACTTCTACTTTCTACATTTAGACCAGGTTATTAATGGGATTTCCCCTTGTGACCAATTGACAGCTTTCACTATACACATGTGTCACATTTGTATGTCTCCCGAGTGGCGCAGTGGTCTAAGGCACTGCATCGCAGTGCTAGCTGTGCCACTAGAGATCCTGGTTCGAATCCAGGCTCTGTCGTAGCCGGCCGCGACCGGGAGACCCATGGGGCGGCGCGCACAATTGGCCCAGCGTCGTCCAGGGTAGGGGAGGGATTTGGCCGGCAGGGGATGTAGCTCAGTTGGTAGGGGTCTGGGTTCGATAAAATAATGTATGCACTAACTGTAAGTCGCTCTGGATAAGAGCGTCTGCTAAATGACTAAAATGTAATGTAAATATTTGTCAACAACACTACTCTTACATAAGACAATTGAGTGAGACGATTGACCTGTAAATACCTAAATACATTAAGGCTAATGCACCAACTCCTCTTAAACACTACTCTGTCCGGCTGCTTTGGGGTATCCTGGCCAGGAGACACAACACTGATCCTAAAGAAGACTGTCTGAGAACACAGAGAGTAGATCATCTTATCTCTCTAAGGAAAGGGTTTAGCTAATGCCCTTATGGTTACCCACTGGAACCCTGATACTGGCATCAAGTGGCATTGTTGGTAAAGCTAAATATTGATATGGATTCCTTATTCACTTGGGATAGATTTCCTTTATTGATGCGTGTCATCTAGTCATTACCTATTTGTTTCCTTGCCTTCGGCCTGTATACAAAGCTCTATGATTTGAGTGTCTGTTGTTCTGTTAGTGAGTGTGTGTTTCCTCTGCTCTATCTTCCAGATCTGAAGGAGATGTGTGAGCTGTTGGGGATTGAGCAGTCTGTGCTGGAGAGGGCTTTCAGCTACCGCACTGTGGAAGCCAAGATGGAGAAGGTGTCTACCACACTCAATGTGGCCCAGGTGAGAAGATCAGCACTGTATAGCATCACACTTATTTAGTTCTATCTATTTAAACATGAGTGTGTGTATATAATGTAATAGTGTATGCCACTTTTATCAACATACAGTGAGTTGGAGTGCATTGATTTTATGTATTTATTTTAGTAATACCTTTTTTCTTTTTTTTTTGACAACAAACAAAAAAACATACATAGACAAAATCAATAAACAACTTAATGTTTACATTAATACATTTCCAGAAACATTCATGACATCACACTTGCTCAATCCCACATGTTCCCATTGTATCCGCACCAATGTTGTTTCTAATACTAGACTACCCCGTATGACAGTGCATTGATTTTAGTATGTATATGTGATCCCTGTGGGACTTGAACCCACAACCTTGACTTTGCTAGCGCCATACCCTCACCAACTGAGCCACATACGACCACCACCTGTCATCAGTGTATAGCAACATACTTCCTTTCATGATAGCACTGACAGACGAAGTCCCAAGGGATGTTTCACACTCCAGTTGTTTTGTGGGTGGATGAGAGGATTATTTCCCTTTGACTTAGTTCTCTGGCTAGCTTACTTCCCATCTACTGTACATGGAAACATATCCATTATGGATTAGGATTTGGTGAATTCTCCCTTGGAAAATGCAGAAGTGGGCCAGGTTTTGGAGGTTAGTGAGGTCAGGCACATTCAGGTTTTAGATAAGAGGAATAGAAGCTAGTCTCCTCTCCCTATGCTGGAGGTTTGAGTTCAGGCAACATTCAGTTGGTGATGAGAAGAAGAATGTCAGAGGCTAGTCCTCTCCCTTGTCCTCTCCCTAGTCCTCTCCCTGTTCTCCACAAAAGCAGCTTATGAAGAAGGGTACTATGAAGGGATGAGCTTCACTCCTCCTGAAGTGTGATTTAAACATCCTTGGCAGTTTTCTGGTAGCCTGGTCCCAGTGCTATTTGTGCTGTGTTGCCAACTCTTAAACTCATTACCATAAAAATGACCATAGGAGTTGACAAGACAGCACAAACAGATCTGGGACCAGGCTACAGATCTGGTTCTTTGAGACTGGGACACCCTCCCCTGTTGCTACTGTGTGCTGTCTCTTATCTTCACAAACATCCGGCCAGATGGCGTAAACAGAAGGGTATAAAAAGGCCAGGCTGAGACAATAAATCGGAGCACATTGGTTAGAGCCCTTGGAGGAAATATCAAACTAAAGGAGCACCAGCTCATCCATAGCACATCATCACCAGTCAAAAATCACCTCCTAGAAGTGTTTGTTTGTCAGGGAGGTTATGCCTGGTCCTGTCCATGCCACAGCGCTCTGTCAATCCAAGTTAATCTCTTCCGGTGTGTGTGTGTTGTTTACATGAGGAATGACAGCCTCTCTACTCCAGTGTGGCTGTATGCCAGAGGATGAGCCTCCCTAACTATAGGGATGTTTTTCGGCCCACGCTAGGACACGCCTCCTCAGACAGCTCAATGTATAATTTCACTGTTGTTTCCTTGTGGATGGTTGGAATGAGAAACATTCTACAGCTGGAATCACAGCTTGACTGATGTCACTTCACATCCATAGAGACTGATCTATCGCTGTCCCAGTTGAATGCTACGCTACTACAAGCATTTACCAGAGATATTTACTACAGCTTTATTTCTCTGTATGAGAGCACTGAAATCTACACTGAACAAAAATATAAAACGCAACATGTAAAGTGTTGGTCCAATGTTTCATGAGCTGAAATAAAAGATCCCAGAAATGTTAGTGAGCATTTCTCCTTTGCCAAGATAGTCCATCCACCTGACAGGTGTGGCATATCAAAAAGCTGATTAAACAGCATGATCATTACACAGGTGCATCTTGTGCTGGGGACAATAAAAGGCCATTTTAAAATGTGTAGTTTTGTCACACAACACAATGCCACAAAGTTTTGAGGGAGCGCGCAATTGGCAGTCTAACTGCAGGAATGTCCACCAGAACTGTTTGCAGAGAATTTAATGTTAATTCACCATAAGCCACCTTCAACATCGTTTTAGAGAATCTGGCAGTATGTCCAACCGGCCTCATAACCACAGACCACGTGTATGGCGTTGTGTGCATGAGCGCTTTGCTGATGTCAACATTACGAACACAGTACCCTATGGTGACGGTGGGGTTATGGTATGGGCAGGCATAAGCTACGGACAATGAACATGATTGCATTTTATCGATGGCAATTTGAATGCACAGAGATACCGTAACATGATCATGAGGCCCATTGTCGTGCCAATCATCTGCCGCCATCACCTCATGTTTCAGCATGATAATGCATGGCCCCATGTCGCAAGAATCTGTACACAATTCCTGGAAGCTGAAAATGTCCCAGTTCTTCCATGGCCTGCATACTCACCAGACATGTTACCCATTGAGCATGTTTGGGATGCTCTGGATCGACGTGTACGACAGTGTGTTCCAGTTCCCGCCAATATCCAGCAACTTCGCACAGCCAATGAAAAGGAGTGGTAAAACATTCCACTGGCCGCAATTAACAGCCTGATCAACTCTATGCGAAGGAGATGTGTCGCGCTGCATGAGGCAAAAGGTGGTCACACCAGATACTGACTGGTTTTCTGATCCACACCCCTACTTTTTTTTTAAGGTATTAGAGCCTAATTTATGTATTTAAATTGACTGATTTCCTTATATGAACTGAAACTAAAATCTTTGTATATACTAAGCCCTTATTGTGTGATTTGCAAGGCCTACTATGCCCGTGATGCCCTGGCCAAAAACCTCTACAGCCGTCTGTTCAGCTGGCTGGTCACAAGGATCAATGAAAGCATCAAGGTAGGTCTGGTCTCATTAAGCCATTGACTGTAAAGATATAAGCCCTACCAAAGTAGATTAAAAGGACTATGATTTTATATATACACTACCGGTCAAAAGTTTTAGAACACCTACTCATTCAAGGGTTTTTCTTTATTTTTACTATTTTCTACATTGTAGAATAATAGTGAAGACATCAAAACTATGAAATAACACATGGAATCATGTAGGAATCAATAGTGTTAAACAAAATATATTTTATATCTGAGATTCTTCAAATAGCCACCCTTTGCCTTGATGACAGCCTTGCACACTCTTGGCATTCTCTCAACCAGCTTCACCTGGAATGCTTTTCCAACAGTCTTGAAGGAGTTCCCACATATGCTGAGCACTTGTTAGCTGCTTTTCCTTCACTATGCGGTCTGACTCATCCCAAACCATCTCAATTTGGTTGAGGTCGGGGGATTGTGGAGGTCAGGTCATCTGATGCAGCACTCCATCACTCTGTCTTGGTCAAATAGCCTTTACACAGCCTGGAGGTGTGTTGGGTCATTGTCCTGTTGAAAAACAAATGATAGTCCCACTAAGCCCAAACCAGATGGGATGGCGTATCGCTGCATTATGCTGTGGTAGCCATGCTGGTTAAGTGTGCCTTGAATTCTAAATAAATTACATACAGTGTCACCAGCAAAGCACCCCCACACCATAACACCACCTCCATGCTTTACGGTGGGAAATACACATGCGTAGATCATCCGTTCACCCACGCCGCGTCTCACAAAGACACGGCGATTGGAACCAGAAATCTCAAATTTGGACTCCAGACCAAAGGACACATTTCCACCGGTCTAATGTCCATTGCTCATATGTCTTGGCCCAAGCAGGTCTCTTCTTCTTATTGGTGTCCTTTAGTAGTGGTTTCTTTGCAGCACTTAGTGAATCAGGCCTTCATGGTCCAAGTCACCTCTGACCAGTTGATGTTGAGATGTGTCTGTTACTTGAACTCTGAAGAATTTATTTGGGCTGCAATTTCTGAGGCTGGTAACTCTAATGAACTTATCCTCTGCAGCAGAGGTAACTCTGGGTCTTCCATTCCTGTGGCAGTCCTCATGAGAGCCAGTTTCATCATAGCGCTTGATGGTTTTTGTGACTGCACTTGAAGAAACGTTCAAAGTTCTTGAAATGTTCTGTACTGACTGACCTTCATGTCCTAAGGTAATGATGGACTGTTGTTTCTCTTTGCTTATTTGAGCTGTTCTTGCCATAATATGGACTTGGTATTTTACCAAATATGGCTATCTTCTGTATACCACCCCTACCTTGTCACAACACAACTGATTGGCTCAAACACATTAAGAAGGAAAGAAATTCCACAAATTAACTTTTAAGAAGGCACACCTGTTAATTGAAATGAATTCCAGGTGACTACCTCATGAGACTGGTTGAGAGAATGCCAAGCATGTCCAAAGCTGTCATCAAGGCAAAGGGCTCCTACTTTGAAGAATCTCAAATATACAGTTGAAGTTGGACGTTTACATACACTTAGGTTGGAGTCATTAAAACTTGTTTTTCAACCAATCCACACATTTCTTGTTAACAAACTATAGTTTTGGCAAGTCGGTTAGGACATCTACTTTGTGCATGACACAATACATTTTTCCAACAATTGTTTACAGACAGATTATTTCACTTATAATTTACTGTATCACAATTCCAGTGGGTCAGAAGTTTACATACACTAAGTTGACGGTGCCTTTAAACAGCTTGGAAAATTCCAGAAAGTGATGTCATGGTTTTAGAAGCTTCTGATCATTTGAGTCAATTGGAGGTGTGGATGTATTTCAAGGCCTACCTTCAAACTCAGTGCCTCTTTGCTTAACATCACGGGAAAATCAAAACAAATCAGCCAAGACCTCAGAAAAACAATTGTAGACCTCCACAAGTCTGGTTCAACCTTGGGAGCAATTTCCAAACGCCTGAAGGTACCACGTTCATCTGTACAAACAATAGTACGCAAGTATAAACACCATGGGACCACGCAGCCGTCATACCGCTCAGGAAGGAGACTGGTTCTGTCTCCTAGAGATGAACGTACTTTGGTGCGAAAAGTGCAAATCAATCCCAGAACAACAGCAAAGGACCTTGTGAAGATGCTGGAGGAAACGGGTACAAAAGTATCTATATCCACAGTAAAACGAGTCCTATATCGACATAACCTGAAAGGCTGCTCAGCAAGAAAGAAGCCACTGCTCCAAAACCGCCATAAAAAAGCCAGACTACGGTTTGTAACTGCACATGGGGACAAAGATCGTACTTTTTGGAGAAATGTCCTCTGGTCTGATGAAACAAATATAGAACTGTTTGGCCATAATGACCATCGTTATGTTTGGAGGAAAAAGGGGGTAGCTTGCAAGCCGAAGAACACCATCCCAACCGTGAAGCACGGGGGTGGCAGCATCATGCTGTGGGGGTGCTTTGCTGCAGGAGGGACTGGTGCACTTCACAAAATGGATGGCATCATGAGGAAGGAAAATTATGAGGATATATTGAAGCAACATCTCAAGACATCAGTCAGGAAGTTAAAGCTTGGTCGCAAATGGGTCTTCCAAATGGACAATGACCCCAAGCATACTTCCAAAGTTGTGGCAAAATGGCTTAAGGACAACAAAGTCAAGGTATTGAGTGGCCATCACAAAGCCCTGACCTCAATCCTATAGACAATTTGTGGCAGAACTGAAAAAGCGTGTGCGAGCAAGGAGGCCTACAAACCTGACTCAGTTACACCAGCTCTGTCAGGAGGAATGGGCCAAAATTCCCCCAACTTATTGTGGGAAGCTTGTGGAAGGCTACCTGAAATGTTTGACCTAAGTTAAACAATTTAAAGGCAATGCTACCGAAATACTAATTGAGTATGTAAACTTCTGACCCACTATTATTATTCTGACATTTCACATTCTTAAAATGAAGTGGTTTCCTGGGACTAAACACCTCCCTCTGCAACTGGATCCTGGACTTCCTGACGGGCCGCCCCCAGGTGGTAAGGGTAGGTAACAACACATCTGCCACACTGATCCTCAACACGGGGGCCCCTCAGGGGTGCGTGCTCAGTCCCCTCCTGTACTCTCTGTTCACCCATGACTGCATGGCCAGGCACGACTCCAACACCATCATTAAGTTTGCCGACGACACAACAGTGGTAGGCCTGATCACCGACAACGATGAGACAGCCTATAGGGAGGAGGTCAGAGATCTGGCCGTGTGGTGCCAGGACAACAACCTCTCCCTCAACGTGACCAAGACAAAGGAGATGATTGTGGACTACAGGAAAAAAAAGAGGACTGAGCACGCCCCCATTCTCATCGACGGGGCTGTAGTGGAACAGGTTGAGAGCTTCAAGTTCCTTGGTGTCCACATCACCAACGAACTATCATGGTCCAAACACACCAAGACAGTCGTGAAGAGGGCACGACAAAGCCTATTCCCCCTCAGGAGACTAAAAAGATTTGGCATGGGTCCTCAGATCCTCAAAAAATTATACAGCTGCACCATCGAGAGCATCCTGACTGGTTGCATCACCGCCTGGTATGGCAACTGCTTGGCCTCTGACCGCAAGGCACTACAGAGGGTAGTGCGTACGGCCCAGTACATCACAGGGGCAAAGCTCCCTGCCATCCAGGACCTCTATACCAGGCGGTGTCAGAGGAAGGCCCTCAAAATTGTCAAAGACTCCAGTCACCCTAGTCATAGACTGTTCTCTCTGCTACCGCACGGCAAGCGGTACCGGAGTGCCAAGTCTAGGTCCAAAAGACTTCTACCCCCAAGCCATAAGACTCCTGAACAGCTAATCATGGCTACCCGGACTATTTGCACTGCCCCCCCACCCCATACTTTTTACGCTGCTGCTACTCTGTTAAGTATTTATGCATAGTCACTTACTCTACCCACATGTACATATTACCTCAACTACCTCAACTAGCCGGTGCCCCCGCACATTGACTATGCAACGGTACCCCCCTGTATATATAGCCTCCCTACTGTCACTTTATTCTATTGTATATATAGCCTCCCTACTGTCACTTTATTTTTACTTCTGCTCTTTTTTTCTCAACACTTTTTTGTTGTTGTTTTATTCTTACTTTTTTGTTTAAAATAAATGCACTGTTGGTTAAGGGCTGTAAGTAAGCATTTCACTGTAATGTCTGCACCTGTTGTATTCGGCGCATGTGACCAATAAAATTTGATTTGATTTGATCCTAACTGACCTAGGAGAGGGATTTTTTACTAGGATTAAATGTCAGGAATTGTGAAAAACTGAGTTTAAATGTATTTGGCTAAGGTGTATGTAAACTTCCGACTTTAACTGTATTTTGATTTGTAAAAAAATGTTTTGGTTACTACATGATTCCATATGTGTTATTTCATAGTTTTGATGTCTTCACTATTATTCTACAATGTAGAAAATAGTCAAAATAAAGAAAAAATGTCAATGAGTAGGTGTTGTAAAACTTTTGACCGGTAGTGTATATCTATTTTATACTTCCTCTTTCTCGCTTTTCTCAGGCTCAGGCCAAAACACGGCACAAGGTGATGGGAGTCCTGGACATCTATGGTTTTGAAATATTTGAGGTAAGTGTAATGGCTCACAGTTTGTGAAAGGGACCTAAATGGACAGAAGCTACCTCACACATCCCCTCACCCATGAGCAAAAGCATATTGTTTGCCTAAAACAAAGAATTTGTGTGGTTTCATGAGATAATACATTTGACATAAACAACTAGCAACTAAACTTACACAGTCCAGTGTGTCTTTTTAAGTTGATCTCGAAATAGCATGTTCCTAATGCGCCTGACTGTTCCCCACTCATTGTGAAGTCGTTCCATTCCTCTCTCCTGAATGTTGTTGTCTGGGCCGACAGGATGGAGTAAGTACACCTGCCGAGGGCGTGCTGGTTGCAGTGTGCATGCTACTATCTATCTTCTAGTCCTAATTCAGATCCTCATCTAGAACAGGACTTCCATTGTGTTTTTTGTGGTGCGATATGAAGGAGTACTGGTGCCTCTTAAGTGAAGGAGAGGACATACAATAGCAGAGCTTTTCTGAAGAGTGTATGAAGTAGCCTGGTCCCAGATCTGTTTGTGCGGTCTTGTCAACTCCTATGGTCCTCCAAATGTTTGGCAAGGCTGCACAAACAGATCTGAGACCAGGTTATGTATGAACACACTCCTGTTGCCATGTGTGTCCTGCTCCTACTGACCAGCAGTGTCCAGTACGCCCTTCGCCCCCAATAGTTATGCTGTTCTAACCCACTGTAACCTAAGCAAATGAGTGATATATTGTTACCTAACCCAACCAACGCTGATGCTGTTTGCCAAGTAGGGTTGATTGCAATGAAAAAATGAACTGGTGTTCTTAATTGATAGGAAAAGGGGGTACTTTTTTTTTATAATTTAGGCTTTGAAATGGTTAACAAAAAACAATATTTTGTGCTCACTGTTCAACACCTTTTTGAAACGGGTTTCTGATAAACACTGAAGCTTTACCGAGGTTAGTTTACATGTATCCATGATAAGAAACACAGGTAGGATTTTACGATCAGGAAGCTATTTGTCTTGTCCAAAGACACTGTCCTTTGTTTGTTCAAGAGTGGTTGTAAAGCAATAAGGAGGAATGTCAACAAGGAATAGAAAGTTCTAGACCCTTTCTGGTTGCTTGGTTGCCTAGATTGGTAGCTAGCATTGCCACAGTTTTAAAGTAGATCAGTTCCCACAGTACTTCAGAGAGAAAATAGATTATCTCGGTTTGTTTGGAAAGAGACATTTTCTTTGTTAGCGTGACATTACAGTGAAGGAATGGAGCTTGAGCAATTTTGGAGCCAGCCTGGGTCTGTTTTGGCATGCATGCGAGAGAGGACAGCAGTCCAGTGTATTAGTGAGTTTTACCCCCAATATGTGGTACCCTGCTGTTTGCATCTGGACAGGCTAAAATGCTCAAATGTGGCCTAATGACCGAACATGAGTCTAAATGGTATCTATGGGTGTTCTCCTCTACAGGACAACAGCTTTGAACAGTTTATCATCAACTACTGCAACGAGAAGCTTCAGCAGATCTTCATCGAACTGACGCTACGTGAAGAGCAGGAGGAGTACGTCAGAGAGGTAAGGAATGGTTCCCTGTTTCCCTTACTGGGGACAACCGGGCTTTAGAGCACACCGTATCAAAACGTTTTAAAACCGTCAATGAAAATGAGTGTTTCTTATAGCATTGCCTCATTGTTCTAGTAGATCAGTGCCCACAGTAGTTCAGAGAGAAAAGAGATTCCCTTGGTTTGTTTGGAAATAAAAAATTTCTTTGTTAGCGTGACATTACAGCTAAAACCATAGCATCCTCTCTGCCCCCCTGACACCTCTACATTCCACACACTGACGGGTCAATTTGTAGTGTGAGCCATGCCTGTCATCCAGTGTTTTAGTATGTCTGGGCTGTGACGTTGACCATGCCTATATCACTCATCTCTTTCACCTCTGTTTTATCTAGACGCTCCCCTGTTCGCTCCGTGTACTTCTTGCTCTTTCACTCGTTTCTTTCCCATCCATTTAATCTTTCACTTTTCTCTCTGCCTCTGTTTCCCATTTCTCTTCCTCCATGTTCTATTGTCCACCTCCCTTATCTTTCTAGTCCTCTCTCTCTCTCCCTCCTTCCCTGCCCTCACCCTTCTCTCCTGCTCTCTTCACCACTATTTCCATATCTCTCATTCTCCTCCCTCTCCTCCTCTGTGGGTTTGGGGACTGAAGTGATCCTTCACTCCAGCAGGGGAAAACAGACTTCTCCCCCTGGGGCTCGGGCCTCTGTTTGCTTTCAGAGCTCTAAGTATGTGAGTGCTACTCCCTTGACCTCCCCTCCATGATATTCCACTGCCTGGCCTCGCTCCAGATCAGTGCATGGGAAAATACCACACTGTGGGAGACAGGAGGGGGCAGGAGAGTGGGGACAAACCACCAATCAGGATGCAGAGTCTGCATCCCCACATGGCTAACCCAGCCCCGCCCCCAAACCTGGTCTCCCTGTCTGTCTGTCACACAGGCCAAGTCAGCCAGAACCTAGCGGTTCCAATTGTTTTTCCACCATTCATTTTTCCCATAGGGGATTTTAGAAACACTTAAAATAAGGGCTGTGTTTCGTTTAGGCTTACCCTGGCGTGAAGTTTTGATAAGCATGTAAATCTCACTCAGACAAGGTGATTTTTATAAATATATTCTGCTCTATTTATACTGAAATTGAAAATGCTAATTAGCATCAAAGAAGACATCATGCAAGACTACACATCCCTGCAAGCTCCTGCATGTCATCTCTAGCTGATACCTTTGCAAACAGAAATTGTCAGTTTAAAACTTGCTCAAGACGGTTCACAGAATTGTCAATTTTAAGGAAATGTAGCTAATTAATTCATTACTACGTTTAGCTAACGTTAGATAGTTAATCCAGAGATTCTTACCTTTGCTTTAATTCGGCAGTCTCATCTAGATCATCATGGCATTTGTAGTTCTTTATGATTGCCTCATTAGCAGCTAATTAGCATTTCATTTTTTTTTGGGGGGGGGGGGGTAAATACAGGCAAATATGTTGATAAGTCACCTTGTCCTAGAGATATTTACACGGTTATCAAAACGTCACGCCAGGGTAAACCTACATGGGACACAGCCCTTATTTTAAGTGTTTCTAAAATCCCCTGTGGGAAAAATGAATGGTGGAAAAAACGATTGGAACCATTTCCCTGTTTGACCGCTAGGTTTTATGGGTATGATGACTCCTACTGTGGTACTCTATGGCCCATTGGTTAGCTGCCTGTCTGAGAGTATAGAAAGTCAGGGCGTTTATCTCTTAAGCCACTCAGGTCTGTATAAGTAAGTCTAGGTGAGGTCAGGATTACGCTACAGGACAATGCTTTGTTGGAACGCCCAAGACCTAAGTGAAAGTTAATAGGGAAAAAGAGAAAATAGTAACCCGTTTGTAACCTCTTGTCCTCTGTTGTTTGACAGGGCATCGAATGGACCAACATTGAGTATTTCAACAACGCCGTTATCTGTGACCTCATCGAGAATGTAAGTCGGTCTCCCTCAATGCCATCTGATTCTTGGAAAGCAAAACAAAGCAATTTCACAATAAACCATGAATAATAACTTGAAACAATTTTCCATGATATACACATCATGGTTTATCGCTAGTGACAAGACATGATTACATCAAATATGAGAGAACTTTGGGCTGTAATCACAGTTGACTCGGTTTAGAACAATTATAATACTGTATCGTACATTTAGAATTTATTTTGAAGAATGTCCTAAGAATGTATTCTAAGAATAATATGTTAAGAGGCATGCGTTATAATAATCCCACTCTCTCCTCTTTATCTCTGTTGTAGAACCAGAATGGTATCTTGGCCATGTTGGATGAGGAGTGTCTCAGGCCAGGCACAGTGACTGATGACACCTTCCTAGACAAGCTCAACACCATCTGTGCTGAGCACCAGCACTTTGAGAGTCGCCTCAGCAAGAACTCCAAGTTCCTGACAGACCACAGCCTGCCTCACAGCTGCTTCCGCATCCAACACTACGCCGGGAAAGTAGGGAGGAGAAACACACCTTACATATACTGGGAGACCATGTGGGACCCAGGGTTGGGGTCAATTCCATTTCAATTCAGGAAGTAAACTGAAATTCCAAGTCCAATTTTAGTTTTTTTTCCTGACTTGACTGAATTTAAATGGATAAATTAACCCCAATCCTGGTGGGACCTGAATTAAACTGAACATAGACATGTATTACCTAGATCTGGCACTGGTAATCACTGGCGAGGAGAAAAGATGGGATCAATACTGATTATAGTCACATGAGCGGAGAGGAGAGGAGCATGCAGATTTGGGTTAAGAGCATTACCTGGAGTGCATCACATGCAGTGATTGTAAAAAATATCAATAATGCAGAGGTTTTCCTTGACACATGATGGACCAGAATAGCCCAGAATATATCCTGCTTTAAAGACACTCCGGGTAAATGGATCTATAATCCCCATTTGGTCAAAATGCCCTACAGTGTTGCATTTTCATTAATCGGATTCAATCCATGGCAAGTATTTCCTCAGGATGAGTTTAGGATTGACAGTGAAGTGCTACTACTCCTCCTCCCTCTGACTGGGTTGTCTGTCTTTTTACAGGGCAATAACAGATATTTTCTGTGCTTCGTGTCTGAGTATTTACATCACTGTCTTGGTGTTTTCATCATTGTCTTGTGGTCTAGGTGCTGTACCGCGTGGAGGGCTTTGTAGACAAGAACAATGACCTGCTGTACAGAGACCTGTCCCAGGCCATGTACAAGGCCACCCACAGCCTGATGAGACAGCTGTTTCCTGAAGGAAACCCTGCTAAGGTCAACCTGAAGAGACCCCCCACTGCAGGCTTCCAGTTCAAGGCCTCCGTAGGGGGACTCATGAGGAACCTGCAGACCAAGAACCCTAACTACATCAGGTACAGTAAACCTAAAACCCCACCTACACTACCTTTTGAAAGTTTGGGGTCACTTAGAAATGTCCTTGTTTTTGAAAGAAAATCAAATTTCTTGTCCATTTTAAAATAGCATCAAATTGAACAGAAATACAGTGTATACATTGTTAATGTTGTAAATGGCTATTGTAGCTGGAAACAGCTGATTTTTAATGGAATATCTACATAGGCGTACAGAGGCCCATTATCAGCAACCATCAGTCCAATGGCACGTTGTGTTTGCTAATCTAAGTTTATCATTTTAAAAGGCTAATTGATCATCAGAAAAACCTTTTGCAATTATGTTAGCGTAGCTGAAAACTGTTGTGGTGATTACAGAAGAAATTAAACGTTCCTTCTTGAGACTAGTTGAGTATCTGGAGCATCAGCAATTGTGGGTTCGATTACAGGCTCAAAATGGCCAGAAACAAATAACTTTCTAATGAAACTCGTCAGTCTATTCTTGTTCTGAGAAATGAAGGCTATTCCATGTGAGAAATGTAACTGAAGGTCTCGTACAACGCGGTGTACTACTCCCTTCACAGAACAGTGCAAACTGGCTCTAACCAGAATAGAAAGAGGAGTGGGAGGCCCCGGTGCACAACCGAGCAAGAGGAGAAATACATTAGTGTCTAGTTTGAGAAACAGACGCCTCACAGGTCCTCAACTGGCAGCTTCATTAAATAGTACCCGCAAAACACCAGTCTCAACGTCAACAGTGAAGAGGCGACTCCGGGATGCTCAACTTCTAGGCAGATATCTCAGAACAACAATAGACTGATGAGTTTCAGAAGAAAGTTCTTTGTTTCTGGCCATTTTGAGCCTGTAATCGAACCCACAATTGCTAATGCTCCAGATACTCAACTAGTCTCAAGAAGGCCAGTTTTATTGCTTCTTTAATAAGCACAACAGTTTTTCAGCTGTGCTAACATAATTGCAAAAGGGTTTTCTAATGATCAATTAGCCTTTTAAAATGATAAACTTGGATTAGCAAACACAACGTGCCATTGGAATACAAGACTGATGGTTGCTGATAATGGGCCTCTGTACGCCTATGTAGATATTCCATTTAAAAAAAAGCCATTTCCAGCTACAATAGCCATTTACAACATTAACAATGTCTACAGTGTATTTCTGATCAATTTGATGCTATTTTAATGGACAAAAAAATTGCTTTTCTTTCTAAAACAAGGACATTTCTAAGTGACCCCAAACTTTTGAACGGTAGTGTATATCATGTACAGTAAACCTAGAACCCCACTTACATCATGTAAATTACCATTCACTCCGAGGATAATGTATTCAAAAGGAACAGTATTGTGATCAGAAAAAAATCAACAAACTCTAAACTCCTTGGGGCAGTATTCTGAGATCTGTTAGCTCTGATCGGGTCCACTGTCTACCATTGTGACCATTGCATGTCCGACTCTGTCTGTCTGTTCTCCTCAGGTGCATCAAGCCCAACGATAAGAAGGCAGCCCACATCTTCACTGACTCACTGGTGTGTCACCAGGTGCGTTACCTGGGACTGATGGAGAATGTGCGTGTGAGGAGGGCAGGCTACGCATTCCGCCAGCCCTATGAGCCTTGTCTGGAGCGATACAAGATGCTCTGCAAGCAGACCTGGCCTCACTGGAGAGGACCCGCCAGGTAGGACCTCAGCTCTGCCTTTACAGAAATACTGTAGTTATTAACTGCCTGTTCGTAATATGTTATTTACCATGTGATGATCATAGAGTAAAAAGATCTACCTCTTCCTCAATCAAATCAATCTAATGTATTTATAAAGCCTTTTTTACATCAGCAGTTTCCACAAAGGGCTTTTACAGTTTCCCTTCCCATGTTCAGCAGTGTTCTAATTGTATAACAATGTAGCAACAGCACTGTAGTCATCATGGAGGATTTTCCCATGCATATCCCACCATGATACAACTGTCAACAAGCCGTGTTGGGTTGGCTTGATCTGGTTGTGCTGGGTGACTATCAGATCATCTAACAGCTCAATCAATTCCTTTACTTTGTCCAGGGCATGTTGAGGCAGTTGCCCCATATCTCTGCAATGTGCCCATATCACTCTGAGTCATGTTACATTCACTGTAAAGGTATTAGGGATGGGCACGGTTAATCGAACAGACTTTAGTATTCGCTTATTGAGAATACGTTTTGGGAGAAAAATTGTAGGCCTATTTTAACAATGAAAAAGCTTTGTCTAAATTAAATTAATCTTGTGACATTTTTACCTACAAGGATATACCGTGACAATTTAAATTATTAATTTAATTAAACGACAAACTTTTGAATGTACTTTCTCTAATGGTGCGTTGAGCTACTGCTGCGCATTTCGCCCTCCAGGCTGCCCTGAAATCGGTATTTACTTCAAATAGCATTTACAGGCACTCACCTGAGTTTCCACAATACCTGACACAGATCAATGCAAAACACTCACCAGAAACCCTTTTTGTAACAGAATCAGTTGTATCATGGCGAATATCAGCCTTTTCTTTCGCTGTTGCTGTTAACCAAACTACTGGAGAAAGTAGCACGTCCGCCCCTGCCATGTGATTTGGTCATTCGGATTGGTCAAGAGTCTGGATATCGTAAATTTTTTATATTATTCGAATAGGAAAATAATTTCAAATGCCCATCCCTAAAAGGTATTACATCGATTCCTATCTGATGTGGATTATACACAACAGCATATTTGGTGTCTAGTGTGTGTGCCTACTATCCTCCTTATATGGTGTGAATAAGTGGTTCATGAGGTTACAACATGTTTTCATCATGTTATCGTCTTAGAATGGCATCTTTCCCCCTGTACTCCCTGCCTTATCTGATCCATCTACCCCCTCTCCCTCTGTCTCTCTCTCTCTCACTCCCCTATCTTTTGTCCTTTCCGCTTCATCTGAACTATCCCGATCTTGTACCTTTAATCATGTACATGTGACAGTCCCATGTCCAACTAGTTAAGAGAATGGTCGTAACAGAATAGTTAAGAGTTGTTCATCTCTGTCTCCCTGTAGGGACGGAGTGGAGGTGCTGCTGACCGACTGTTCTGTTTCAGCTGAGGAGTTTGCCTACGGACGCTCCAAGATCTTCATCAGGAACCCCAGAACGGTAGCATGACATGAGATGACATAACATAACATTGTAGAAGCACACCCAGTTGATCTGGACCATGTTACTGAGTCTGATGGTATTAATGGTACTACTTGATGTTTTGTTTTTATTGTATTTTGTACGTAAGGTTTAGAAAGGGTTACCGCCAAGGATGTGACACAACTTTGAAGAGAGCAGCATGCTCTGTAACTGGCATTTGTCCAGTTTTATTAGCCCGGAAGATTTAGCCATAGATCATAAATGTGAGGAGACATGGATGTATTCATATACAGTTTGACTAAAGCCAGAATCCAGTGGGCTCATGCTCTCATGTTTGACCTGCATTAAAAAGCTTCTAGAAGCAGGAAGTCGTGCTCTGCTGAGCCCCTCTCTACTAATTACAACACTTAACCTACATTATGGAACATTCTAAGAACACATGGTTTCACTTATCCATTCTACAGCTGCTCACATAGGTGTGTGGGGGGGGGGGGAACATTTAGGCCTACTCTCCATAGCAGCATGGGCTTTTAGAAACTGCAGTGATGGGTGGAACAACGTACTCTTTAGTCAGTCCAGGAGCCAGCCTAAACAAAGCCTGATCTCATAGGGGTTTGTCCTTATCCTTGATCTACGTTACCTTCTTACCAGATTAGCTAGGTATCTCCATCTCTCAGCTGTACAGTGAAGGTACAGTTCAGTCAGGCTGGTGGTAGGGTGGGGTCTAGTCACTGAACTCCCATCCCCTAGATCTGTCTGGAACTGTCTTTTGAGGTGGAAGATGTGTTTGGGCAGATATAGAAGCCTCTTATCAATCTCAAGATCTTGTGCCAAAATGGTATCCTGTCTAATTGAAAATGTCCTCTCATTCCTAAATTGTACAGACTATGCTGGCGTCCATAGTATCATAGTACATGTTTGATGTTCCGATCATCCTCTTCCTGTTCCTGTGTCCCCAGCTGTTCACCCTTGAGGAGAGGAGGAGGGCGTGTCTGGAGGACCTGGCCACCCTGATCCAGAAGATCTACCGGGGCTGGAAGTGTCGTACTCACTTCCTCCTGCTGAAGAAAAGCCAGGTGGTGGTAGCAGCCTGGTACCGCAGATATGCAGTGAGTTAGCTTGTCTCTCTAACTATGCACATGCAGGCACACACACACAACTTCATACCAGCCTTTATTCAGTCTCAAGTGTAGGGGGTTGCAAAATTCTGGAAACTTTCCCGAAGTCCTCAGGTTTTCCAGAAATTCTAGTTTGGATGATTCTCAGAATCAGGAGGGGAAAGGCGGGGAGAGAATCGTGATTCCTCTCCTGTTCATTTCTGGAGCTCTTGTACAGGTGCAGGATCTTAATTTAATCAGTTTCTCACAGCAGGAAAATAATCCTGCAGTAACAGGAAATGTGGATTATAATTAATGGACATTTTTGTGGGGGTTGATACATTTTTACTTAGGGCAAATCAGGTCTGACATTTTAAAGTGGGAATTACTAACTTTAGAAGCCTTTTTAAACCTTGAATACACTACAAGTTTGCATTTCCTGCTGTTCAGGAAATGACCTGTAACAACAGGGTGATCAAATTAAGTTCCCACATCTATATATGCTAGCTCTAGAGCTTAGATATCTGTAGTTCGAATTTACTTGTCTGTTGAGCTCAGTGTTTTTTGCCTTGTCCTGTTGCAGCAACAAAAGAAATATGAGAAAATCAAGAGCGCTACACTAGTGATGCAGTCCTTCACCAGAGGGTGGAAGGTATGTCTATGTCCACATGCCAGTCAAACACTATAAGAATGCATATTTTTCTGTGATAATGCTGCAGTAAAGGCATGTTTTTAAAACAATTGTTTTTCTCCAGGCCCGCAAGATATTGCGACAGCTGAAATACGAGAAGAGATGCAAGGAGGCAGTGACTACAATTGCAGCGTACTGGCACGGGACTCAGGTACTGGCTAAAAAACACTACCTAATGGCTATATAATGATTAGACAATGTAAATATATATAATGAAGATATTGGGAGGAAAATTAATGGACTACTGATTACGGGCATCCACTGACTTGCTTTTACAAGGTTTGTCTGTGATAAAGCCAGGTAGGGAAATACTGTATTTTAAGACATGGCTCTGCTCAGGTCTCTCAGCTATACTAAAAGCTAAACTAGAGCAATTCCACAGCTTTTCTCCTCTAGTCTTCTTCTGCTGTGGCTGATCTTACCACTGCTGCTTTTTCTCACTCTTTTTCACTCTTTCCACCCTCTCTAATTCTTCCCACCTCACTCTCTTCCCTCCCTGCTCCCTCCATCCTTCCACCCTCCTGGCCACCCCCAGGCTCGGATGGAGCTGCGGCGCCTAAAGACGGAGGCGCGGAATAAGCGCGCTGTGTCTGTGATATGGGCATACTGGCAGGGGACCAAGGTATTTAAGCCTGCTGCCATCGTGTTTTGCCATCTCAGCTGTCCGTCATCCCCCATGTCCCGCCCCTCCCCTTGAAACTTACCAATTAAATGGCTCCTCCTCTGTTGTCCGGTGGTCCACTAATGTCGCCCCTCGCCTACCACTCTTTGACTCATCTGTTTTATTGTCCCTTTTCATAGGTGTCATTTTGGGGCTTGTTGAAAGGGTTACCCACTAACATATTTTTACCCCTTTAACCTAGAAACGTCTGTGTGCTAGCAGCCTCGGTTTTTACTGCTATAGAGCCTTCCTTACTTACTTCCCTTAGGAACAACAGCAAGTCCCACAACACAACACGCCATTGTCTTGGTCTGTTGTTTTCTTGTTGACGTTTGTCATTTCATTCCGCTGTAATCTGTTACTATATGAGACTTGATGTACAGTAGGCTACAATAGATCATCAAAATGGTATATCATGTGTTCACTTTGATGCTGCATTAGTTCTGAGAATAGACCATGCTGAGAATAGACTGTATTATATGTGCTATATAACACACTAGAGCCACCGATCATGTAGCCTAGGCCCTAATGGTCATAGCACATATGCTACCATTAGCAGTTTATGTACTTAGCGTGCCATTCTTTGCATTAGAGGCCCTTTAAATCCTTTAAAACAGTCCATGCACTACATGTCATATTTGATGGGCCTTTAATCTGACACTATTTTGTAACTCAGCAACATCTTATCTAAAGGCTTTACGGGCACACTGACCAAATAATCATCAAATACCTTTTATTGACACATTTATCAAGCCTACTGTAGTCAGTTACATGACTGAAGCAGTCGCGACTAATCGGCCCATCTGATTGGTGGATCTAGTCTCTTAGCCTGGGGAAAGCCCACGGTACTGCCACTGAATCAGAGTGGGGTCAGTGAGTTATGTGAGCTGTTGTACTAAAACAGACCATGCCGAGTTCTAACGTGGTATCAAATAGCCATACACAGTAGTCACAAAGTTTAATGAATATAATTGATGTCAGATACTATATCGGATACAATTAACTTCTGTCTACATCATGAAAACCTGGGCTTTTGTACTAATGGTGCTAATTCATATCACTCAGTCATAAGCGTCAAAGAGTCGTTCATGTTATCCTCCATTGTCTTAATCTGTTTGCTACTTCATTGCGGGGTAGGCTACACATTTCTGTCTGTCTGCTTCTTATTCCTACCAACACCCATCCCAACGGGTATATTCTTTCCAAAACACAATAAACAATAAACCCCACCACTTCCCCAGGCTCGGCAAGAACTGTGGCGTCTAAAGAAGGAGGCGCGAGAAAAGCTCGCTGTGTCTGTCATTTGGGCTGGCTGGCAGGGGACCAAGGTATTTGGGAAGCAGCCTGTCGTCGACAATATCCATCCGCCCACCTGCCATTTCTCCATCAAATCAACCCAGGCCGATGCCAGAGCCCTGCATTAGCTAAACATTGGTCTGAACAGACCCCAACATGTCTCTCTAGCTATCCTCCCCATTACCACCACCCATCTCATCTATATTGCATGAAAAGGTGCCATACGAACCCCTCATCCAATGTCCCGTCGCATGCCAAAACATAATTGAAGGGGGGGAAAGTCACCTAACCTACTGGAATGGAGCAAGACCCCTAAGCCCCCATGCTGGCTCTCTCAGCCCAGCTAGCTGCTGTTAGCTAGCCTTTAATGGTTTAATGGAAGAGATCTAGAGATAGATGGCTGGAGTTCTGGTGACCCTTGGCTCTGGTAGATAATAGACAGGCCTGTGCACTAGGGGGGAGGGATGGGGGTGGGGTAAGGGTAAAGATACAGTCACTTAAGCCTCTTTGCTATGCAGCCTGATGGATTATAGCTGATCCAGACTGAAATCGGGAGGGGGGTGAGGAAGACGGGGGTGCGGCAGGGGGAATTTTGCCACGCGCTAGACTGGCATCACACACACACACACTCGCACAGTGTCTGGAACCTTGGATAGACCCTGTGCCTGCCCTACCCCAAACCACCAACACACTCCGCTATCCTGGCATTGATTTATCCTCCCTTGTTATCAAAGGTCAGGATGTTTGGGTGTGTTGTGTTTCTATTCCTCCCTGAGGCCCAAGCCTCACCTTTTGCATGCTGTTCTCTTTAGAAGTTGCATGCTGCTACTCTTTGCTTGCTGATTCCTTGAGGCTTGCAGTGATTGTTTTTTTTGTGTGCAATGCAGTGTATGGAACCTTGGAGAAACCTTTGAACTTTGTACTTTGCTCCTGCTCAACAGAGCCACCTGTTTAAATAAAAAGGTTCTAGCCAATATAGATGTACAGTACATACACATTTAATAATACTGTAGTCTATTTCATGATAGTTGCATTCTTCCCATAGTGGGTTCAATTGTCTTCAGGATCTTGCTAACTAGACAGGCTCTTGTGTGATGTGTCCTCACACAGGGCAGTGTCTCTTCCTCCATATCAGTCTCTTATTATTTCCTCCTTTCACTCTTTCCTTCCCTCTTTTTCCTCCCTTCTTCCCGACAGGCACGCAGGGAGCTAAGGCGCCTGAAGGAGGAGGCCAGGCGTAAGCACGCCGTCGCTGTCATTTGGGCCTACTGGCGGGGACTCCAGGTATACCTGCCCACTCCCTCTTACCCTCAGCCACTCCCTACTATCCTGCCCAGCCACTCCCTACTACCCTCCAGCCACCCTTCTACCCTGCCCTTACACCCTGCCACCCCCTACCTCCCAGACATCACCCCTGCCTTTGGTGTTGGAGGGGTAGGCACACTTCACAAAACCAGCATGTAGCCAGCCTCAGCCTGTCAAAACTCGGGAGCCCCCTGGACCAACCACACAGTGATGTCCCAGTTAATGCATGCAAGCTCCAGAGTGACTGATTTGAGATCTGGGCAGTCCAGTACCAAAGTATATGCCCCTCCTACCTTCCCTCCTCTCCTCTATCCCTGCAGTGACACACATTACATTATTACGTTCCACGTCCAGTGTTTAGAGGATTCAGATGTGTGCCATGAGGTTAAATCTGCCCTATATAACCCAGGGCTTTAGATAAGCTGGCTATGGCTGGTTATAATTGAGTGACAGCTGCTTTTCTTTACCCCTGCTTGTTCCTGAAGACTGCAGCCCCTTAACAGAGAGGTCAAAGGCTACTACTTGCCCTGACTGACATGGCAGAGGCTGCCTGGATGTCTGTCTGACTGTCTCTCTAGCCATGTTTGTCTGTCCTGTCTGCACGCTAAGCTATCTAACCCTCTACATGTACTCAGTCCCAATGTAGCATATCATCTTTCGCTCTGTTTTCGTCCAGGTGTCCTGGTTGTGTCCCATTTCTCTACTGTTTTGACCTGTTGTTTTGTCTAGCTTCCGCTTTGTCTGATGCTATATCTACTCCATTCTCTTGTCCTTTTCACCAGTATTATTGTAGTCTGAGTGGCCCCAATCCTCTCACTAATTGACTGCACAATGTGCACGTCACCTTTGCACATCACAGAGAAGCTCTCAGCACCTGTTAACGATTAACTGACTCCAATCAGTGTGATTTAAATTGACCTCATCAATTTATGTAACATCTCATTTTCAGCAAAACCATTTAGGAGAAAAGTCAAATTCTGATCAAAGTTTTGTTGAATGCTCAGCAATTTACCTACAGTATAATATTTTCTCTCCCTTTGTACGTTGGGTTCATTGTTTAACTAACCACGTCTGCCTGTTGTTCTAGTGAAGGGTTCTCCAACCCTGTTCCTGGAGAGTTTCTGTCCTGTAGATTTTTGCTCCAACCCTTAATCTAGTGCACCTGATTCTAATAATTAGCTGGTTGATGAGAGGAATCGGTTTAGATAAAACTGGGGTTGGAGTGAACCTACAAGAGCTCCCCAGGAACAGGGTTGGAGGGTCCTGTTCTAGAGTCATGTCAATCAGTGTTGTTGTGATATCATTCCTCAAATCAGATCACTATGGTGATGATCAGTTGTCTCCTTGGTTACAGGTGCGCCAGGAGTACAGGAAATTCTTTAGGGCCAACGCTGGCAAGAAGATCTACAACTTTATCATCCAGAGAATTGTAAGTGGGAGCAAGATGGCAAGACAACACAATCAGATCGGGGACCAGCCTAGCAGGAATGAGCCGTCCGTCCCTTTTAAGCACTGTTCTTCTGAATCACTAGGGTCCGGTTTCCCGGACACAGATTAAGCCTAGTCCTGTATTAAAAAGCACATTAAATGGAGAATCTCAGTTGAACATGCTTCTCGGACAAGGCTTAATCTTTGTCCGGGAAACCGGTTCTATATGTTCCTGAATGTCAACAGTAATCCAAGTCTGAATGGGAGGTATAGAATATATGCCCGTCTCCCTCCCTCCAGATGCAGAAGTACTTCCTGGGTCTGAAGACTACCATGCCCTCCATGTCCCCCATAGACAACACCTGGCTGGCCCAGCCTTACAGTTTCCTGGAGGGAGCTCACACTGAGCTCAGGAGGATCTTCCACCTCTGGAGGGTCAGTTAGTTATTATCTTTGGCAGTTCTTTCAAGTGGTCATCACTGATCCTACAAATTATTATAAGCGTCAAGTAGTATATGCCACTACCCAGCGGGCAAATCTGATTGATATGTCATTATAACCAGATTACAACCTGGTTGTAAACTGGTTGTACGGATGTACAACCAGCGTTGCGCGCTGGCTTTATAACTTACAGTACGGGGGACATCAATATAACACATTTCCTAGGGATTGATTATGTATTTTTTGAATGATTAGTGCAAGAAGTACAGGGGCCAGTTCACAAAGGAGAAGAAGGCTGTGTATGAGGAGAAACTGGAGGCCAGTGAGATCTTCAAGGACAAAAAGGCTCTGTACCCCAGCAGGTATATCATATTGTCCTTTTTGATTTAATACATTACATAATGTTTGACGTAAAGCTAATGTTCCAAGCAGTGAATCTGGCACATTTTTCCTCTGAGTATAATCTATGAATTGCTGCAGGTTCCTCTCTGTTGCTTTCTTAGGTCCATGAAAAGCGCTATATAAAATACATGCATTATTATTATTTCAGTGTGAGCCAGCCTTTCAAAGGAGATTATCTGGAGATCCAGAAGAACCCCAAGTACCAGAAGCTGAACAGTGCTGTGGAGGAGAAGGTGCTACTGGCTGACGTGGTGAACAAGATCAACAGGGCCAACGGCAAGGCAAGTACCTTTCTCAAAGTACCTTACCTCAGCAAAATCAGATCAACAAGTACCTTACCTCCGCAAAATCAGATCATCAAGTACCTTACCTCAGCAAAATCAGATCGACAAGTACCTTACCTCAGCAAAATCAGATCAACAAATACCTTACCTCGGCAAAATCAGATCAACAAGTACCTTACCTCAGCAAAATCAGATGAAGTACCTTACCTTAGCAAAATCAGATCGACAAGTTCAAGACTGCTGCCCTATGTACATAGTCATTTAAAGCTGGTCACTTTAATAATGTTTACATACTGTTTTACCCACTTTATACAGTGCCTTCAGAAAGTATTCACACTACTTGACTGTTTCCACATTTTGTTGTGTTAGTCTGAATTTAAAATAGATTAAATGTAGATTTATTTTTGTCATTGGCCTACACACAATACCCCAAAATGTCAAATTAGAAATGAAAAGCTGAAATGTCTTGAGTCAAGTATTCAACCCCTTTTGTTATGGCAAGCCTAAATAAGTTCAGCTGAAAAAATGTGCTTAACAGGTCACATAAATTGCATGATTTTTGAGTGACTAGCTCATTTATGGACCCCACACATAAAATGATCTGTAAGGTCCCTCAGTCAAGCAGTACATTTCAACCACAAAGACCAGGGAGGTTTTCCAATGCCTCACAAAGAAGGGCACCCATTGGTAGATGGGTAAAACATTTAAAAAGCAGACATTGAATATCTCTTTGAACATGGTGAAGTTACGGCCCAGTACATCACTGGGGCAAAGCTCCCTGCCATCCAGGACCTCTATACCAGGCGGTGTCAGAGGAAGGCCCTCAAAATTGTCAAAGACTCCAGCCACCCTAGTCATAGACTGTTCTCTCTGCTACCGCACGGCAAGCGGTACCGGAGTGCCAAGTCTAGGTCCAAAAGACTTCTCAACAGCTTCTACCCCCAAGCCATAAGACTCCTGAACAGCTAATAATGGCTACCCGGACTATTTGCACTGCCCCCCCACCCCATCCTTTTTACGCTGCTGCTACTCTGTTAAGTATTTATGCATAGTCACTTTAACTCTACCCACATGTACATATTACCTCAACTACCTCAACTAGCCGGTGCCCCCGCACATTGACTCTGCAACGGTACCCCCCTGTATATATAGCCTCCCTACTGTCACTTTATTTTACTGTATATATAGCCTCCCTACTGTCACTTTATTTTTACTTCTGCTCTTTTTTTCTCAACACTTTTTTGTTGTTGTTGTTTTATTCTTACTTTTTTTGTTTAAAATAAATGCACTGTTGGTTAAGGGCTGTAAGTAAGCATTTCACTGCAATGTCTGCACCTGTTGTATTCGGCGCATGTGACCAATAAAATTTGATTTGATTTGATTAATAATTACACTTTGGATGGTGTATCAATACTCAGTTGCCGGAGAGGAAGGAAACCGCTCAGGGATTTCACCATGAGGCCAATGGTGATTTTAAAACAGTTTAATGGCTGTGATGGGAGAACTGAGGATGGATCAACAACATTGTAGTTACTCCTCAATTCTAAAAAAAATATTCCAAAACATCCTGTTTGCAACAAGGCACTAAAGTAATACTGCAAAAAATGTGGCTATACAAAGTGGTATGTTTGGGGCAAATCCAAAACAACCCATTACTGAGTACCACTCTCTATATTTTCAAGCATAGTGGCTGTATCATGTTATGGATATGCTTGTAATCGTTAAGGACTGGGGAGTTTTTCAGGATAAATAAACATAATGGAGCTAAGCACAGTCAAAATCCCAGAGTAAAACCTGGTTGTCTGCTTTCCACCAGCCACTGGGAGATGAATTCCCCTTTCAGCAGGACAATAACCTAAAACACAAGGCCAAACCTACACTGGAGTTGCTTACCAAGAAGACAGTGAATGTTCCTGAGTGGCTGAGTTACAGTTTTGACTGAAATCTACTTGAAAATCTATGGCAAGACCTGAAAATGGTTGTCTAGCAATGACCAACAACCAATTTGACAGAGCTTGAGGACTTTTGAAAAGTATAATGGGCAAATGTTGCACAGCGCAGGTGTGGAAAGCTCTTAGAGGCTTACCCAGAAAGACTCACAGCTGTAATCGCTGCCAAAGGTGCTTCTACAAAGTATTGACTCGGGTGTGAAAGCGTATGTAAATTATATATTTAATTTTCAATACATTTGCTAACATTTCTAAAAACAAGTTTTCACTTTGTCATCAATGAGGTATTGTGTGTAGATGGGTGAGATCTATTTAGTCCATTTTGAATTCAGGCTGTAACACAACAATGTAGAATAAGTCAAGGGGTATGAATACTTTCTGAGGGCACTGTATGTATATACTTTATTCTAGCCATGGCTCATCCTATATAACTACTGCTGTACACACCTTTTCTATGCAAATACTGTCCATACTGTCTATACACTCAGTGGACAGTTTATTAGGTATACCACCCCGTTCACGTAAATGGTTTGCTCCTACAGAAAGTGAGTCGTGAGGCCGTGGCTTGTTATATAAGCAGGCAGACGGGCATCGAGGTATTCAGTTACTGTTCGATTGAACATGGGCAAAATGACTGACCTAAGCGACCTGGGTTGTCCTGAACAGAATGATGTATTGTGAAGACAATTTGCCGTGGCCACACATTTGAATGCACTCATGACTCATTCTATGCACACCAAAATGTGTCTGCTTCTCTGAATTGCCTAGTGAAAGCCTAACACTGTAAGATTGTATTTTATGATTTAGCTAGTCATGTTTGCAATAGAACAAGCTTTCAAATGATGCCCACCTGACCCAGATTGTGATTTGTAATGGAATGTTTTTGAATTGCGTAAACAGCAACAGTAATTGTTTAAAGGCAGGGATGCAGGGCTGTGTTCCAAACAAAACAACTACCAGTGTGCTGCTCTAGTTCCTCAACGGCACAGCTAGGAGAGCTCAAAAAAGCACCTTATAGTTGAAAACTTCTTTGAGTCATAAAAGTGCATTGATATGACTTAGGAACTGTGCTCACTTTGGAGAGGTGTGTGGCCATTTGGAGAGACCAGTTAGTCCTCTCACTCAAACCCTTTCATTTTTTTTTGTCTTGAGTTTGAGTTTGAGTTTATTTTTACAGGGACAGTGCACATTAATCAACGTTTCAGTAAAAGTGCCGGTTTTAGCCAGCCGGCTAATTTTCAACCGCAGTCCCTGGGCAGGTTATTAAAAACAATTACAATATAGACAATAACAACATAGAACAAGACATAGCATACAGACATAGCAACATAGGACAAGCAAGACGTAGCATACAGACCGAGCAACATAGAACAAAAAGCAGCAAGACAAAATTCATAAAAGCAACAAAATGTTTCCACACCTCACAAGTTACAGACAACAGACATGGAGAGCGGCAACACACAGCTAGGGACCATGTTCACAAATCTGATTGACCTTTAGCCATGTCTTCAAGCATTTTGTGAAAGTGATATGTGGTGCAGTTGTGTGTGTCTGATGGCAGTGTATTCCAGACATGGGAAGCTCTCACAGAAAAAGCGGATTTACTAAAGGTGCTTTTCCTTAGGGGAACTACACAGTCACCTCTCATGGCAGACCTTGTGGATCTGCTGCCATATGTTTGGGTTTTCTGTTTAACAAAAATACTGAGTGGAGGGGGAGCCAAGCCATTTAGGATCTTGAATACAAGACATGCATCGGTGTATTGCACAAGATTTTCCCAACTCAGGAGCTCATGCTTTCTAAGGATGTGACAGTGATGATGGCTATTGGGCTTCCTATCAAGCACTTTGAGAGCCTGTTTGTAGACAGACTGAATAGGTCTTACTGTTGTACAGCAAGCTTGGGCCCAACTAGTCAAGCAGTATGTTAAGTGGGGGAGTATCATAGATTTGAAGTACAGTTTTGCTACCTCTGTAGTCAAACAATTTCGTATAAATCGGAAATTAGCTAGGTTGAATTTGGTTATTTGAATTACCTTTTTCACATGCTTTTTAAAAGAGAGGTTGGAATCAAGTATGATGCCAAGGTACTTAAAATCAGATACCCCCTGGAGCTTCTCCCCTGACACATAGACTTCTGGCTCAGTAGCATCTGTTGCCCTCTTTGTGAAGAACATGCAAACAGTTTTTTTCACATTGAGATGCAAACACGAGTCACTGAGCCACTTTGTAACCTGAACCATTACAGTAGTGAGTTCTTGTGCAGCTTGTTGTTTGCTCTTTGCATGCACATATATCACTGTATCATCTGCATACATTTGAACTTCAGACCCAGTACAGACAGAAGGCAGATCATTAATGTACAGGCTGAACAGGAGGGGCCCCAGTATTGACCCTTGGGGCACACCCACATCATAGCTAAGAGTGGGCGATAGCTCATTGCTCACTCTGACACACTGAGTTCTGCCTTCAAGGTATGATTTCATCCATCTCAAGGCATCGGGGGAAAAGTTGAACTTGGACAATTTTGTGATGAGAATCTCATGGTTAACAGTATCAAAAGCCTTCCTTAGGTCCAGAAACACAGCCCCAACAACGCCCCCTTTGTCCATCTTGGACTTCACATTTTCCAGAAAAAAGCAGTTGGCCATTTCTGTGGAGTGTTTCGCTCTGAAGCCAAACTGCATGGAATGGAATGTGAAGGGGCTGTTGTTGAGGTGGGCAATCAGTTGTTCTGCTACACACTTTTCAACAACCTTTGACACCACAGGTAGTATACTAATGGGCCTGTAGTTACTCACGTCAGCAGGGTCGCCTGATTTAAAGATGGCCGTTATTATGGCCGACTTCCATACCCTTGGAAACACCCCGAGACCAATAGATGTGTTGGTGACCTTAGTAATGGGGCCAATGAGTGACTCTTTGTAGTTTTTAAGAAAGGTAGAGTCCATCCCAAACACATCTTTGGCTTTAGAGTTCTTTAGTGAGCTAATCACCTTGTCTACCTTTGACTCAGAAACCTCCCTTATGATGAAGACAGGTTGAGCATCATTTACTAGCACTGAGCCCAAAAAACCAGTGGAGGGGTTCTGTGTCAGTACCCTGACAGAGTCAATAAAGTAGGAATTGAAGGCTATTGCTATTTCGACTGCATCCTGTGTTAGATTGTTATTCACCATGATTTCTAGTCTTTTTGCAGTGTTACTATGGTATTTCCCTGTTAACTTTTTTAGATTCTCCCAGATCAGTTTAGAATTTCCCTTTGCTTCACCAATTATGTTAATAAAAAAGTTTGCCTTGGCCTGTCTGATTTCTTTCATCACCTTATTTCTCAACATGGTAAACCTACGTCTGTCATGCTCTAATTTGGATCTTAGGGCTATTTTTAGATAATAATCTCGTTCTTTCATCAATTTTTTTCTTATGGTGCACCAACCCCAGGTTTTCCAAGAATATTCTTATCATGATACTGAATGTATCCAGAGTATTTTCAGATTTCGTTATCAACAAATGTGGTGAAAAGTACAGTAAATGGAAAATTAACACAAAATCAACAGTGTAATGTTTGGATTCTGTCTTGTCAGGTGAACTGTTGTGTTTTCGCATAATCTCTAAACTGTTCCCTTTTAATTACTACCATGGTTATGCATATACTTTCCATATTTCGTCTGTAAGAAACATTTCAATTTAGCCCTATCCATATAGGCCAATTCCTAGGAGTGTAAGGGGTTATTTTATTGTTTTAGTTTTTTTACTTTTGGATTATGTGTGTATTATTGCTAGATATTGTTTTTGGAGCTAGAAACATAAGCATTTCGCTGCAGCTGCAATTACATCTGCAAAACTGTGTACGTGACCAATAATCTTTGATTTGACCTTACCTCAGTAAAATCTCTGTCACGTTTATGACTGTTCATATAATTGTACTAAATCCTGAGGGGGTCTGTCTAACTGACAGGCCTGAACAGGACTGTATTACAGTTCATATGGCCCAAACTCTTCAGAGTCATTGCTATATTATAAGTATTATATCTGTAACTATGCTGTACACTAGGAAAATGTATGTTTTACAGATACAGCCTACCTGTGCTTTTATACCACTATAGCCAAGAATAAATGCTGTTTTTGCAATAAATGTGTTTATATTTCTATAGGTTATTACTTTGTTATTATGATTTTACCATGTACTTTCTAGGTAAATAACTAATTTCTGTACCGTAAAATAAAATGTTACCAAATTCTTAGGGTATTAAACCTAGCCTTCTTCTTGTTACAGGGGTCACCAAGGCTCTTCTTGCTGACCAAAAGCAACTTTGTACTGGCTGACCAGAAGACAGGCCAGGTGAAGGCCAGCGTGCCGCTGCCAGACCTCACCAGTGTTTCGGTCAGCACTCAGAGTGACGGCTTCTTCGCCCTCAAGCTCAAAGAGGTGATGGAGGCAGGGAGTGTTACTCCAGCTGCACTGTGATGCACTTACACATGGACATCATCCATCTAGCTAACTACCCAGCTGGCAAAGCTGGTTGAAATTAACCTGCTTTGCTTGCTGCATAACCACTGGTTGCAAACTGATTCTAATGATGTCATTTCAAACAGTTTCTAGTTGTAATAATAAAGTTCTGCTTCATAACTTTTAATTCAACATTAAGGTGCTAATCATGGAAAGACTGGGTAGGCATATTGACTTTGAAATTACTAACACTCCTCTCTGTGTTTTTACCCATAGGGCTCTGCTTCAGCTGCCAAAGGTGACTTCTTGCTAAGCAGTGAGCATCTTATAGAGATCATCACCAAACTCCACCGCACAGGGACCACCGCTGCAGACGGGGACCAAATCAACATCAACATCTCAGACGAGTAAGAACCGGAGACACGTCGCCATGTTGACTTTACATTGCAATGCTGTTGTTTCCCTTTGTCAAATCTTCGTCCCAGATGTGTTTGTGACGTCTTGCCAACTGCTACGGTCAATATCACATTTGCACAAACAGATCTAGGATCAGGCTAGTTAAATCCCAGGATGTGATGTCAGATGTTTCTAATCATACTTCCTCTTTATCTCCATGGCAGGTTCCTGGTGCAGTTCAAGCAGGACAAGGTGTGTGTCAAGTTCATCCAGGGGGGGCCTAAGAATGGCACCAGTGCTGCCTGCAAACGCAAGAACAACCGCCTACTGGAGGTGTCTGTGCCATCATCGCCATAGAGACGACACAGCCTCCCTAAATGGGTTGTCATGACAGTTGACCATCAACACCTAAACGCCAGCCCCGCCCCCGATGACTGTGCAATTACGCTACTTTTTGTTGTTGTTATTTGTTCTCTTATTTCCTCTATTCTGAGTCATTACATCACTGTAATATTTAAAAGCGCTGCCACTTTTGGTAGAGAGTGAAAGACCCACAGGATTGCATGACGATAGGGTTATGAGAGAGAGAAAGATGTTACTTTGTTTTACTTGTATTGTTTTTAAAGAAGGGTGGTGGGTGATGGAGTTGTCAATGGAGCATAAGATATCTACAGTCAGATAATGATGATGACAATGATGATGATTGTTGAGCTTGGTGAAGCTAATATGCAGGCTGTGTGGTATGGTATCAAAGACAGCCATGCCAAGCCATACCCATATTCAGAGATCTCTATAAAGGTCAAAGAAAGAAGGTATTGACAAGTCACACCCCTGAACTAGCTTCAGGTCATCGGCTTATTTCTTCTGTTTGAACTCTGAAATGGCAACTCTAAAGACCAACGATGACCAGAGAGCTTTCAGGGTTGCTTAAAATTTTTATCTGAAAATTAAAAAAATTATACAATATGACTGCACTTGTTATGTTCACTCAGGTGAGTTAAAATGAGAAAAATAATGATGAATAGTCAGAATATTGGCTGGGTTGTTTCTGTTTATTGTTGTGCTTTGCTGACACCTACACAGCTGACAGTGGGTGGTCAAGTAGAAGAATCAACACTTGTCAAATGTGATTTTGCCAAGTGCTCTATCGTTAACCACTTAGTATCCATAACAATTCCCATCTGCCATTGTCGGCCCCTTCGCTGTGTGGTGCAATGACGTGTTACATGTATCAGTGTTGTCATCTAGTCAGGTCTTGGCCTAAGTGAAAACCGAAAAGGTGAATGGTCCCTACACCCAGTTTATCATTGTAAGGAAATGCCCCAAAACATTTTGAAGGGGGACTTAATCAACCAGGACCAATATTTTATTTGATAACACACTGCACATGTGATCAATATTCATTTCCTCACTTTCCAGTTGTCCTCAAAGTACATCTCTTTTACTTTACATCTCCAAGCTTTACTCAATATACATGTATAAATCATTATTCTTAACTGTTATCTTTTGCTATGTGTAACTGAGCAGTGCAGATCCATATCCTTATAAATGTCATTACTCAGACAATAATTCAGTGGTTTGGCCCCTTATGAAGGCTTGTGATCGGTCGGATGGACAGGAAGTTCCCAACCACCACAGGAAATTAGATGGACCCCAGGGTTCCCAAGCCTACCCTGCGCCCAGTTTTCAGCTATGGGATAGGATTAAATGCATAGAAATCGAATATAACGGCAGTCCCCATTCAAGTCAATCATTCATCCGTTCTATTCATTCTATTTCTTTGCATTTAATCTTAGCCGATAAGCGAAATCCCAATAGTTAACTTTTGAAAAATTGGGCCCAGATGACTATCGCAGATTCAAGGCTGGTCAGTCTTTTTAGAGCCACAAGGCTGCTTGTTTTCAATGGCCCTCTTGTGTGAAATTTAAGGGAAATTAGCTATTTGCCTGGAATGCTGCCTAGGCTAGGCTACACAAGCTCAAGCATTCCTCCTCCCTTTGGCCTGAGTAAATTAGTAAAAGGACGCAGCATGTCGACAGACAGGACACAAGATTAAGTCCTACACTCTGACAGACGTTTCTCAGGCACATGCTGTTGAGAGAAACACTCACTCACTGTCATACACATCAGCTGTACATAGGCGAAGACGTAGACCCAGCATAGATAGAGTATGTAGGGGTAAATTATAGTATCCTTATGCTAGTTCTCTTATTGCTGTGTTGCAGAAATATCTATTGTTTTTGCCATTGCAATGTGGGTGGTTACATTTTTTGTAGCCCCACTCTGGCTAATAATAAATGCAGTGTTTTTCTTGGGACTGACCCAAACAGTTTTCTGAGTGCATATGGCCATATAGTACATTCTTGGGAATTTTTTTCAGAAATCTAACAATCACAGCTTTACTGTCTACCTGTGTACAAACTTGATATACTTTATACACACAAGCCAATGTCCCTGATCTTTGAAATTTGAGCCCTATATTTGGAAGTATATTTAATATGATATTCTTTATCAGGAGGTTTCGTAGGGGCTTTGTACTGTTGACTTCAATGTGAAACCATTGGGTTCTCTGGTGGTGGAGGTTGTAGCTCAGCCAAACTGCTCTAGATCACATTCCTATAGATTCTGCTGGGGTATTTTCATTTTAAGTTTTTGTAATTTCACAGAAAAACCACAGGTGGACTTTGAGGAATTATTGTTTTTTCCTTGCACGGGGAGGATGTTGAGCTGAATAGAAGTATATTTGTTGCTTCTCAGTTCAGTTCTGTACAGTTTGAGATTTCAATGCAGTTTGCTACAAGGTTAACCCTCTCGCTCTTCAGTGATTATTTGAAGTAAAAGATGAAAATAGAAACGCAACATGTTGTATGCATTCTTGTGTGCCTAATGTAAGACCGAGAACATGGAATTATTTCAATAGTACTCAATGTAACACACTTACAAGTAATTTTTTGTAATTAAAAAAGCAATAAATAAATACTTTGACTTTGTGATTGTGTTGGTTTTGAAAGAGTGGAAGCATATGGGCAATTCCACATCACTCTGAAACTGGAATTGGCCATATGTACTGTACATGTTCATCAGTTTAGTTTATGATCGCTCAAGACAATGTTTTCCAGTCATCAGCATTACCAGTCATTGACCGCTAACCATTGATGCGTACACACAAACAAACAAATAACATATTAGCAGTACATTACAGTATATCCATCACACAACACAAATAATAGTCTTTCTGAACTCTCTAGAGCTCCTGTTATTGTCTTTTCACATCTGGGCAGCCACCATAGACCTACTATGCAGTACTTAAAGTGGACAGACAGGGCACTGTGAACTCCACTACCACTTCATCCATTAGATCAAATGACTGAGTCTGAGATGATATTTATTAGTAGTGTATCAGGTGAGCTGGGGGAGAGGCCCTCTCTCTTTCAGCTCTCCTGGTACATTGATAGTAAGGGGTGGACTGGAAGGGCCTGTATGTAGGAAGACCCGACCAGGCAGCTACCCAGATGTTTTCCATCACATCTGCAGAGTTGTCCTGGGTTAAATTCCGTGGCTTGGGGAGACTGCCGGCAGCAGGCCCCTGAGGAGCAGCCTTGACAGATATAAATAGCCCACAATTATGGGCTGTTCCGGACCAAGTTCCCACCGTCCTATAGTCCTCTGCAGGCTGGGAAAGGAAGGTGTGGCTTAGTCTCCTGCTGAGAAGAGAACCAGCTCTCTGTGGGAGGGGCTAACAAGGAACAGAACAGACAAAGCATCGACACGTGTAGCTATATGTGATTGACAGTGGATAATAAATCAGAGCTCACAACATACAAATATAATCAATGAACACAATTGCAATAATTTGTTTGATTCATCACAGTTTTGCTTATAACACCAGTGCCTGCTTGTGTATAAAGTTGAGTGTGGTGGTCTGCACAGAGTTCCAATACGTTTAGACCTAAACATCTGCATAATATAATCACATCAGGGATGTTAATAAACGTACTTATGTGACCCTCGGGTATTTCGAGATGTCAGTTGCAGAATCCTCTGGCGCCACCCAGTGGAAGTCAGCGAATGTACCATCTTAGATCTGCTTCTGGTATTCTGTCTCCCCCTACTGGTGGGAAAGATTGGCTTATCAAAAAGGTATGCAGTAGTAAATCATCCCTCTTATATCTATCTACCTTATATCTCTCTGTCTCCAAGACGATCTGTGCTCATTTATTCCCTGCGTCTGTAGAGGTGGCCAGGGTGAGGTGGGAGAGGTCCAGATGGTTAGGGCTGACCTGGAAGCCCTGCTCACACACATTCCTCACCTAGCCCAGAGAGAGGTGGAGGGGCACTACTGGACCTGGGAATCTACTGCCTGCAGTTTTTCTTCATGGTGTTCAATTGGGAGAGGCCTGAGTCCATCCAAGCCACAGGACACTGAATCGACACAGGTAATTGGTGTTATTCTGACTCACATATGTCTCCCTTTTTAAGTCTCCCACAAAAATAAATGAATGCTTTCTGTGTTGTGCATGCTTATATCAACTCTGAGTTGGACACAATATGAAGGTCTCAGAAACAGTGTAGTGCAATATTCCCATTTGGTTAAGTTTGAAGCTTTTGCTGTATCTAATGCTTTGTATTTGCACCCTCAGAAGTGGATGGAACAGTAGTATTGATCTTAAGGGAACAAAATGGCTGTGTGCACGTGCTCCATCACTATGATGCTGACAAATGATGCTGTTATCACTGGAACCAAAGGGACCATCAAGGTAGGAATTAGCAGACACACACACACAGGAAATACAGTACATTGTTCAAACAAGTCACATAGCCAGTGGAGGGTAAGGGAAGAAGTGCACACTGTAGTTATTGATCTGTTGATAAGGTGCTGAATTAAACAAGTTTATGATTAATTTAAGAGCTGACTTTAATGGACAATTCCATAGCCTCCTGAACAACTTCAATAACCTACGTAGTTCATTCGATAAGTTTGAGTTTATTATTCAGAGTACCATTGAATTTATTTTGTATTATCTAACAATCTGTTGAAGCCTCTCTTCAATTCCCTATTGAGAACAACGAAGTGTGACATTGATAGCATATCAATAGCATAAAATAGCAAATATACTAGTATGTGTTGTTTCTATGTGAGGTCCCCAACCACATGTGGTGTCCAACGAGCCTGGAGGTGAATGGAGAGATGAAACAGGGGGGGCATTCCTGTAACATTTACAGTAACTTACTGACAGAAATTGGCCAGTAGTTTACTGTAATTTATTTTTACAGTAAAGTTACTGTAATCCATTTTACGGTAATCCATTTTACGGGACCAAAGATGCTACTGTAATCTAATGTACAGTATATTACTGGAATTACCCATGCAGCAACATATTACCCAGTGTTCTTTGCAAGTTTTCAATTTTACATTTACATGTTGGTCATTTAGCGGGCGCTCTTGTCATTAGCAACTTACAGTCAGTGCATTCAACCAAGGTTGATCAAAACATTTTTTTTTAACATATCACAGTCATAGCAAGTAAAACGTTTCTGTAACCGTTACTGAAAATACTGCTGTAGTTAAGGATACATTGGTCTTAAATTTTTTTGTAATTACAGCAATATATGTCCCGTGTAGCTCAGTTGGTAGAGCATGGTGCTTGCAACGGCAGGGTTGTGGGTTCGATTCCCACGGGGGGCCAGTATGAAGAAAATAATATTATGCACTCACTAACTGTAAGTCGCTCTGGAAAAGAGCGTCTGCTAAATGACTAAAATGTCAAATGTAAATATATCTTATGACATATCTCTGACTATCTCTAGATAGTGCCAATACAATACTACTGAGATATTCATGGTAACTTGATGCCAGAGCAATGAAACACAGTACAGTACAGTAAAAGTGACTATTAAACTGTAAGAACATTATTTCTATAGTATTTCACTGTAATTAAAAGGGATTTGAGCTAGCAGGTTGACTGTATGCATTTACAGTATATTAATGAATACTAGGTGTTTTATATCAGTTGCTCTTCTAGTGGCCTAAACAAAGGCTTCCAAACTGGCCGTGATTACGGGGGAAAACAGATCAAATGGACAAGAGTAAAAATTCAACCATTAAAAGGTTTCAGACCCGTTTCCCTCTGATCTGTTTCCTATATGGGTAGTTGCCATATGGCCAAAACAAAAGTGAAACAATTATTTCCTCTAAAATGTAAGTAAAAAAACAGAGTTACAATATACTGTCTAAACAACTCAACATTTTATATGGACAGCTTCAATTTTGAATTCATACCAAATTGAATTAACCATTTAATGCATTAGTGCCTTGAATTTGTCCTCTGGTGTGACATCCCAATTAATGGTAATGTAAAGGTTTTAATGATTCCCAAATAGACAAGACAAATATTTGTTTCCATTATTCAGTTACTTCTGTCTTTTAAATCAGTAATCATATTCTTGCATTTAAAATGAAAAACACATTATTTCCTTGTATAATGACGATAACCAAGTGTCTCGCAATTACATTTTGGGTAAGATTCACAGTTATTTCAATAAACCTAGATAAAAAGCAGTTAACTTACTTGTGTATTATTATAATGTTACCTGCCTCATGCTTAACAATTAATTTGACATTTTATCCAAGATAACACCTTTTTTTCCTTTCATTTATTGACGTCACCCCATAGGACATTATGTCACACCGATGGACAATACACAATAGGCAGTCAAATTTGATTGTTAACACATAATTAATGACACTTTCAGAAGTTTCTGACCACTGTAAAAATGCTTCTAAAAATCAGTTCTAAACATCAGTAATGGATCCTCATTAAAGCATTTGAAGTGTACTCATTCCAATTACAGGGACTCGAAAGAGTCCTGTATTGTTATTTTTCATCACTACCGCCCCAAATCGTAAGTGGATAATTTGCGTGCCTGCTGCCTTCCTTGAATGTTGTAGCCGTTTCTCAGGCTCCCTCTCCGGAATCGAACCCTGATTCCCCGTTACCCGTGGTCACCATGGTAGGCACAGAAACTACCATCAAAAGTTGATAGGACAGACATTCGATTGAGAGGCCAGTGTCACGAAGGGTCACCCCATACGGGTTTTGGGTCTGATAAATGCATATGTCCTCGAAGGTCAGCAATTGTTGGCATAGCTTAGCCCTAGAATTGCCACAGTTATCCAAGTAACATTGGAGCGATAAATTGAACCATAATTGATTTAATGAGCCATTCACATTTTCACTGTACCGGCCGTGTGTACTAAGACTTGCATGGCTTAATCTTTGGGAGAAGAATATGGCAGGATCAACCAGTTAGAGCAGGGGGGAACAGTCTCCAAAAGAGGCCCGGCTGATTTGGCCCTCTCAGGGTGGATCACGTATACCAATTGGTCAGGAGTGAAACTGGTAGGACAGACAGAGAGGGACCAAGGGGAGGGATGGTCTAATGCAGGGAGTGAGAACCAGGAATGGGTGCACCACAGCCAATATGTGCCTGCACCATCACTAGGGCCACGTAAAATAACTAGACCTTCCCCAGAGGGCAGAGACAGACCCAGAGGTCACCAGAGCAATGTTCACATGCCAAGAGTGAGAAACCAGGCCTGGGAGAATGAATACATAAATATTGCACTCATAATCACTAAAATCGATCAAAATTGCAACAGGATACAAATAGGTCTAATGCAAATAAGTGTTATTTGATGAAAAAAAAGTCTACAAAGGTCATTATAGAAATTTATTAATAGGTTATGTTCCCTGGAGTGACAGCTATTTCCTCTGGTGTGACGCAACAAGGGAAAAAAGCTGTCACACCATTGGAAATCTCAGGCTGTATGGTCCATTTTGGGCCATTTTGTTAACAGTAAGCCTTCCATATGATTTCACCACAACATGTTTTCATTGCTTTTCATACTTCAATTGTCAAAAAAGTATTATTATTTTTAATATATACACATTCAAACTGCGTCACACCAAAGGACTAAGAAACTGA